CCCTATATCCTGGACACCCACCTGAGCAACCCATACACCAAAGAGAAGTTCCCATCTGTTTTATGGACCTGCTGTGAGAATGCAGCCTAAACAGAGAAATAAAAGCGGTCAGAGACCTACTTGAGCAGCACCACCCCCTCAAGATTCTGAGCCTGCCTGGCAGGATTGGTCCTATAAAGCCAGAGCCCCCTGATGGGAGAGCATTATGTACAAGGAAATTCTCAAAGCTGCTAATGAGAACCTTGACGACCTTGTACCTAGCCGGTGGGGATTTCGGTGGGGTACCCCCACCCAGGTAGTGGCAGTGCTGGCAACACTGGCTGCAGTAACCCATGGGGAGGGGGTCACATTCAGACAATCAGAGAGGGGGTTTATCATTGTGGCCCAGGTGGCACAAAATAATCAAAGGTCTGACTGGACGGAGATGCTTGGGAAAAATGGTTACAACGGGGGACCAGAGTGTTTGTGTCTCAGGTGAAGAGGGTGGATCTGATCTCCATCCCCTAGGACTTGACAAAGATTAAGTAGATTAATCAAATCTCACATTGTTGTCAATTTCTGCTCAATCTTGCATGCTTTCTCAATCAGCTGTAACTGTATGTGCACTCGTAAATCAGGTCCTTTCTTGAGTTGGGCTCTGGGATGTAACAACCGTTGAGCATCTGATTTTATGGTTGATTGTGGAGGAGTGGGGTTGAGTGTGTTGGAGTATGTGCGTGTGTGTTTGTCCGGCATCTGTTGTGGAGGGGGTGGGGATGTTGTGGGGGGGGGGGGGGGACAAGACCGTAACTACCAATTGGATATCACGAAAAAGGGGTAAAAAATAATAATAATTAGCTAAATTCCCCTGTTATTGCAATGGTGAGAAGTTAAAATGCCTTGGTGGTATGATATTTGTGCGTCTGTAACTTTCTCACTCATCATTATTCACGATTAAAAAATTCCGAATTATCCGTCATTATGGTAGCATGCACATGAATGTAGAAGTATTTAGAAACATATTCTATTCTTATTTACAGTAAAAGGGACTCCAATATTATTAAACATTCATTTCCATTGGGCACAAAATAATCTGAAAACATAATGAACATGGCCTTATTTCTATTACAGCATATTGGATTCACCCAGCTCAATATAACATCAATAGGTTTAGGCTACTACATGATCCTCTAATTTTCCCTGTACCCATCATGAGGTTGGTACAACCAAGCCTATGAATTAAAGTTTACAATGAAGGTGCACAGGTCGAAATAATTTGGAGTAATCAAGATGACAGACAGTGACACATTCAATACTGCCTTGTGCACTCTTGCCTGCATCTAGCTGATCTAGGGTGTAATCATTAGTCCAACAGTTGCAAACAAGAGTTTTTATTGAACAAATTCAGGTATGTTTATCCCTTTGCTTCCGTTTAAGAAATGTTTTTCAACAGAATTGGCGCAATGAATACACCCCTGTTCACTTTCATATCAGACACATACAAACAGCTCGTTGTATATATAATTCCTTCTCGCATCTATCTATGTGCTCTCCTCCTCTCACCTTTTCCCTTCGCTTGTGGACTTCAGTGTACAACACAGGCGAAAAAACCTTTCCAAGCCAAACCTTCATATCATGACTGCTAACCACTTCACACAGCCTACATCGTTGTAACGTCATAGTTAACATAGCTACTAGAACTAACACATTAGTAAACCCGCTACAATCATGCAGTACAGTGTAGTCAGCAGTAATCAGTTTAGCAGTTACACCGGCGGGCCCTGGTGGCAATAAATTAATAAAACCCAAAGCTTACCTTGACTTGGAAGAGTTCCAGCTAGCTAACATAGCATCCCTCTCTGTTTGGGCCAGGTATTTGAGTAGGCTAAACTAGCTAGCTGCATTTGACACTAGCTAAGTAAGTGAAAGTGAAACCAATATATACTACGAAAAATAGCTAGCTCTCGCTTTCTCTTTCTTTCTCTCTCTCTCGCTCTCTCTTGCTACTCCTTAATTTTGGAAGAAATTAATTTGTTAAAACTGTTCAACTTTTGTCTTTCTCTCACTTTGAGTCAACTACTCTCCACATTTTATGCACTGCAGTACTACACCACATGACGAAAGTATGTGGACACCTGTTCGTCGAACATCTAATTCCAAAATCATGGGCATTAATATGGAGTTGGTCCCCCTTTTTCTACTATAACAGCCTCCACTCTTCTGGGAAGGCTTTCCACTATATGTTGGAACATTGGTGTGGGGACCAACTCGAAAGAGCATTAGTGAGGTCGGGGGGAGGCATTGTCATGCTGAAACAGGAAAGGGCCTTCCCCAAACAGTTGCAACAAAGTTGGAAGCACATCATTTTAAAGTTGGCTCTATGCATTGGGGCAGGTAGCCTCCACTGTTGAAACACAACCAAAACAAATAGCAAATGCATCCAACAAGTTTGTAGAGTCACAAGGTTGATGTAATCATTGCGCGCTAGCAATATGGGACCAAATACTGAACTTTTGACTACTTTAATACACAGTTAGTGAATTTGTCCCAATACTTTTGGTCCCCTATAATGGGGGGACTTCCTACAAAAAGTGCTGTAAATTCTAAACAGTTCACCCGATATGGATCAAAATACCCTCAAATTAAAGCTGACAGTCTGTACTTTAACCGCATAGTCATTGTATAATTTCAAATCCAAAGTGCCAAAACAAACAATAACATTGTCACTGTCCCAATACTTTTGTAGCTCACTGTATATATTATTATATTTTATTATTGTTTCATTTACTTCTCACTTCTCCCCTGCTGCTCTTTGTGGTTTGACCATTTCAGCTCCTCTGAGATGTGTATGCCGAGGAACTTGACGTTTTTGACCGTCTCTACGGCGGCCCCGTTGATGAGGATGGGGGTGTGCCCAGCCTGGTTCCTCCTGAAGTCCACAATCAGGTCCTTTGTTTTGCAGACGTTGAGGGAGAGGTTATTTACCAGGCGCTACGCTGTCAGAGTGCCTACCTCCTCTCTGTAGGCCGTCTCGTCTTTATTGGTAATCAGGCCTACTACTGTCGCGTCGTCAGTGAACTTGATGATGGAGTTGGAACTGTGAGGCCACACAGTCGTGGGTATATAGGGAGTACAGGAGGTGACTGAGGACACACCCTTGTGGGGCCCCCGTGTTGAGGATCAGTGTGGAGGAGGTAATGTTGCCTACCTTCAACACCTGGGGATGGCTCATCAGGAAGTCCAGGACCCAGTTGCATAGGGAGGAGTTCAGTCCCAGGGCTGTGAGTTTTGTGGTGAGCTTAGAAAGCACTATGGTATTGAAGGCCGAGCTGTAGTCAATGAACAGCATCCTCATGTATGCATTCCTTTTGAATTGCTCCCCCACTTTTCCCTAAACTTGTGTCTCGCCATCTTGATCGATCTGCTTAGGTCGTATTTGTAGTGTTTAACCATACAATTTTCCCCGGTCACCTTGCCGTGTTTATGAGCAGCATCTCTCAGTTTCCCGACAAGGCTGCCATCAATCCACGGTTTTTGATTCCGGTAGAAAGACACCATCGTTATCACATGTTTTTATGAATCTGGTGACTGAGTCTGCGTATTCATTGATGTTATCCCCAGAGGCGCCCAGGAACATATTCCAGTCCATGTGCTCAAAACAGTCTTGGAGCATGGATTCTAATTGGTCAGACCAGCGTACAGACCTGACCACCGGAACTTCCCTCTTGAGTCTTTGGATTGTAGGTGGGGAGGAGCAAAATGGAGTCGTGGTCAGATTTGACGAAAGGAAGACTTACTACTAAAATAACAAAATATATCACTTTTGCAACGAACTGTCAAAATGAAGACCATAATTGACATGTTTCACAAAGACGTGTAGGAGTCAGGCTTAACTAAGCCTAAAACATCTGGTTTTCATGAAAGTTACTCTTTAAGACGTATTTGTCAATTAGCACAACTCATCTGTGCTGCACATCGGGATGCTGCAGGTTGCGGTCAGGTTCCTACCAGCTTGGAAAGCATGAGCTAAGGTCACACTGAGGTCATTTTGAGTTCATGCTTGGTTCAAAACCGGAAAAAAGTTTCCCAACCATAAAGGTATTATATTAACTAGAGATCCCTGGCCTATAACTTGCCTAGTATCATCTGCTGGAAACAACCCACCAGTGAGAAAGATTAGATGACCCTAGGCCTACAAAGCTCAACGTCATATTTAGAGTTAATACAGTAAATCAAATGTACCATATTTTTCTCTGCTTCAAATAATCCCTTGATAATGACTTTTTCTCATTTCAAGCAATCCAATCTCTCTGTTCCCACCTTTGCCTAGTGTACATCATTGGCGTCAGTTGATGGAGGCTGATAAAGCCTGGACCACTATTTGGACAAAAGCCTTAATAAGACATTTTAGTGTGTATTGTCACAGAGTAGGCTAATAGTTTGTCTATCTGGGATTTCACTTTTTTCCACTGTGTGCACTTCTCACATCAACTTCACTGGTAATCAAGCATGGCTGATGGCGATTCAGGGTTTATACGGCTCACCACGGTAATTCATCAGAGCAGTTCACAGTGAAGGATTACAGTACCATCTAGTGGAAAGAAATAGAGCATCCATGGTCCTGAAGGACACAGTATACCACATGCAGATCCCTGTTGCATTGATACATCACTGCAAATGTGGTCAAATGGGGTGAATCCATTTCACCCCCCCAAAAATCAGAAACAAGATACAACTGGCAATTCATTCTAACTAGGTACTTTTAACACACTATATTATTTCAATGTTATTTCGTTTTTCCAAACATATGCTTTCAAAACCATAGACTGTATGTTCAACACATGAAGTAGGACTGAAGTGCTTATGGGTAATAATTAGTCCCTGATTGGTGAAGTGATATATTTAATATAAATGTGCACACCAATCAAAATGATCTGTATGATGTTGCCGAAATTGTGGCAATCCTCCTACTTGAAGACGTCAGATTCGGCTTCGACAAGCTTTTGGTGCCGGAAGAAAAGATGGCGGATCATGAGGAGCAGTTATCGGATGAGGCGAAGGTAAGATGTCGTTTTTATCTGCCGTTGATTGTGTTGGAGGATATATGGTATCTTTAGGGTTGTATGTGCGTCTGTCTATTCATATGAGTATGCTTTTATTTAAGCTACTGTGCATAAATGCTGGATAAACAAACCGCGATTCTCGCTCGGCCAACGTTAGTCTAGCTATTATTTTTAGCTCGGCAGCCTCTGGCCAACTTCCGCTCCTTTACGAATCTCAAATGGAGACTCCTTGTACGGTCCTAACTCTAAAATAGGAACCGTGCAGCATATAACAAATAAACAAAAGTTAACCTCTCACCCTCCTAATCGAAAACCTTGTAATCAACGTTGTGCTTTCATTTTAATTTGTCTCTGTATCGCTTTGTGATCATGTCTTGAACTTCTCACGAATGAGCAGCTAACGTTAGCTAAGATAGCAACCTACACCCCCTGTTAACGCTCTTTGCACAATGAATGCTGATAATGTGCAATTTACTGCCGTTTGTGTGTGACGGATATGACTGTAGTGTTGAATCTCGGATTTAAATATAGGTCCAACTGGCTAGTATGATGATCGCCAGAAGATATCTAACCTACCATCACGCTTGTTTACACTGAGCTGCACTGGGTTCTGAACGCAATCATGGTTGTGGCAGAGATCCTTTTAACACACAAATTCGGATAGCCAGGCTTGCTTCGCCCTCATGTTGGTGTAAGCAGTCTAGGTAGTGCTAGGTATCAACAGCCAATCCAGTATGGGCTGGAAACGACAGTATAGTGAGCTTCGATTGGTCAATCACAATGCGATGTTACAGAGTATTTGAATCAAGTTCACCTTATTCCAACTTTGGTCCTGCCCTGTTCACGTCCCTCGCCCATGCTCACATCGCCCAATGGTCCCCCTGCCCACTTTGCTTCCTTAATTGAAAATGGGCTTCCTTTGTTTCATCTCCCCAATGTGCTATGTGGATCTCCTGTGTTACATTTAAGACACCATGGAGCCGGCACGAGATATAGGTTGGGAAACGTACCTCTAGTACTGCTAGTTTGGCTGCGGTGACGACTGCTAGCTAGCATGAGGACGAAAAGGGCCGTTTTCTGGGAAAACTAGCAGTATTTAAATCATCTCAATAAAGGTACAATTTGGAGTACAGTGGCATGTCCGTAGCTGCCAAGATGTTTTTCCTTCAACTACCCTTTGGGTGCAGGCCTGCCAACTTCCCTGTTACGGCATTACAGTCTGTTTACAGTCTGTTTACTCTCCACTTGAGAGATGCTGAATTTACAGAACCTAACCTCTGTAGCTTAACACTGCCAGATACATAGTTGCATACATGTCGTCTTTTGAAATGCCAGTTTGTGTTGATGTACCCAAGTGAGGGTTGAACTTGACCGACGTGCCAGAGCGTACCATGGAAAAGCCTAAGAGACAGTGCAGTGGTTCCTCCTTCAGAGCCCAGACATTGCAAGAATATGGCCTAGCCTAATGGCATAGAAGGCTTTCAGGTGTAGCCTACTGAATGTACTAGGCCTATGCATGCCTAGTTCATTGAATGGGCTAAAGCACATTGGCTGTAGATGGGTTGATAGGGGAATTAAAGTGCAGCCTCGCAGATCCAGGATAGCAATCAATTTACAAACCTCAGAAATTCCGCAGCCCAGCCCCAAGGCTGTCTGTCTGGTGTTGCCCTCCCACACTCCTGTATCACTATCTGCTCCACCCTGACTTATAATGACTGTTTTAAGCCTCAGCCATTTAACATGGCTTACGTTGAAACTATGAACAGCTAGTGTTTGGGTGTTAGTCGTGTGGTCTATGTAATCTGATACTTTTTACTGGAGGAATGTTGTTATTCTCTAATTCACAAACCATAGATACCATGGCTGGACAAATAGCCACACAGAAAACACTTTTTTTTTTATTGGGCTTCTACCTTTTGAAGTCTCATCATGATCTCTGTAGGGGAGGTCGAGGCCTATGTAACGGCGTTAATAACGGGCCGTAAAATCACTCCACAGCTAGCTTGTATGGCTCAATCGGTTTGAACGTTATCAAGGAGGGTGGTCACGTGTTGCGAAACAGAGGATCACTGGATGAGCCCAGTATGGGGCAGTCGGACAGTAGAGGAAGCTAAGCTGTTAACAGCACACTTAGCCCCTTTAATGTTAGAGTTGCAACTATGAACCGAAAATTACAGACACCGGCATTGCCTCCCTCTTACTGAAGCATTTTGCGTACGTCAGTAATTTTCTGTGATTTTGCTACACAACGTTCCTGTAGATTGTTCTAAAACCAACAGTAATAACCTATGCATTATGTTGATTCCTGCTATGAAAGTATCTGTCTGTTCCTGTTTCACTGTCGGCTGCTGTGTGACTGAGCCACTCTTATTCCCACTGTGCGCATGGAGGAGGGAGAGATGCATTCTGAGAAGCACAAGCATATGACCACTGCTCAAAATGCAATTGCGGGGAAAAATGCAGTTTTTAACTATTGTTCTAGTTACAGAGAGAAGAGTCACAGCTTTCTGTGAGTTTATATATTTCTCACCTCTTAAAACCGACTAAGGTCGATGTCCACGCCCCTGCCGGAATCTAATTAGCATGATACAAATATCCCCATTAAAAAAACCTCAGTTTAAGCTAGAGATATCAGTTTTTTTTGCATTGGATTCGTCTCAGTCCACCAGATCAATCAATCAATCAATCAAATGTATTTATAAAGCCCTTTTTACATCAGCAGATGTCACAAAGTGCTATACAGAAACCCAGCCTAAAACCCCAAACAGCAAGCAATGCAGATGTAGAAGCACAGTGGCTAGGAAAAACTCCCTAGAAAGGCAGAAACCTAGGAAAAAACTTAGAGAGGAACCAGGCTCTGAGGGGTGGCCAGTCCCCTTCTGGCTGTGCCGGGTGGAGATTATAACAGCACATGGCCATTAAGGCCAGATTTTTCTCCAAGATGTTCATAGATGAACAGCAGGGTCAAATAATAATCACAGTGGTTGTAGAGGTTGCAACAGGTCAGTACATCAGGAGTAAATGTCACTTGGCTTTTCATAGCTGGGCATTTAGAGGTTGAAATGGCAGGTGCGGTAGAGAGAGAGAGTTGAAAACAGCAGGTCTGGGACAAGTTCACACGTCTGGTGAACAGGTCAGGGTTCCATAGCCACAGGCAGAAGAGTGGAAACTGGAGCAGCAGCACGACCAGGTGGACTGGGGACAGCAAGGAGTCATCAGGCCAGGTAGTCCTGAGGCATGGTCCTAGGACTCAGGTCCTACGGGAGGGGAGGGAGAGAGAGTGAATTAGAGGGAGCATACTTCAATTCACACAGGACACTGCAGAGACGGCAAGGGCGGTTTCTCGCTCCAGTGCCTTTCCGTTCACCTTCGCACCCCTGGGCCAGACTACACTCAATCATAGGACCTATTGAAGAGATGAGTCTTCAGTAAAGACTTAAAGGTCGAGACAAAGTCTACAACTCTCACATGGATAGGCAGACCATTCCATAAAAATTGAGCTCTATAGGAGAAAGCCCCCTGCCTCCAGCTGTTTGCTTAGAAATTCTAAGGACAATAAGGAGGCCTGCGCCTTGTGACCGTAGCGTACGTGTAGGTATGTACGGCAGGCCCAAATTGGAGAGATGGGTAGGAGCAAGCCCATGTAATGCTTTGTAGGTTAGCAGTAAAACTTTGAAATCAGCCCTAGCCTTAACAGGAAGCCAGTGTAGAGAGGCTAGCACTGGAGTAATATGATCACATTTTTTGATTCTAGTCAAGATTCTAGCAGCTGTGTTTAGCACTAACTGAAGTTTATTTAGTGCTTTATCCGGGTAGCCAGAGAGTAAAGCATTGCAGTAGTCTAATCTAGAAGTGACAAAAGCATGGATGAGCTTTTCTGCATCAGTTTTGGACAAAAAGTTTCAGATTTTTGCAATGTTACGAAGATGGAAACAAGCTGTCCTTTAAATATTCTTGATATGTTTGTCAAAAGAGAGATCAGGGTCCAGAGTAATGCAGAGGTCCTTCACAGTTTTAATTTTTTTTTGTGTTTTTTTGACGACTGTACAACAGAAGATCTCTTTGTTTCTTGGGACCTAGAACTAGCATCTCTGTTTTGTCCGAGTTTAAAAGTAAAAAATATGCCACCATCCATTTACATTTTATTCATTTAGCAGACGCTCTTATCCAGAGCGACTTACAGTTAGCGCATACATTATTTTATCGAACCCACAACCCTGGCGTTGCAAACGCCATGCTCTACCAACTGAGCTACATCCCCTGCCGGCCATTCCCTCCCCTACCCTGGACGACGCTGGGCCAAATGTGCGCCGCCCCATGGGTCTCCCAGTCGCGGCCGGCTACGACAGAGCCTGGATTCGAACCAGGATCTCTAGTGGCACAGCTAGCACTGCGATGCAGTGCCTTAGACCACTGCGCCACTCGGGAGATCCACTTCCTTATGTCTGAAACACAGGCTTCCAGGGTAGGCAATTTTGGGGCTTCACCATGTTTCATAGAAATGTACAGCTGTGTGTTGTCCGCATAGCAATGAAAGTTAACATTGTGTTTCCGAATAATATAATAATAATAATAATAATATGCCATTTAGCAGACGCTTTTATCCAAAGCGACTTACAGTCATGCGTGCATACATTTTTTTTGTGTATGGGTGGTCCCGGGGATCAAACCCACTACCCTGGCGTTACAAGCGCCGTGCTCTACCAGCTGAGCTACAGAAGACCACTGACATCACCAAGAGGTAGGATATATAGTGAAAACAAGAGTGGTCCTAAAACGGAACCTTGAGGAACACCAAAACGTACAATTGATTTGTCAGAGGACAAACCATCCACAGAGACGAACTGATATCTTTCCGACAGATAAGATGTAAACCAAGCAAGAACTTGTCCGTGTAGACCAATTAAGGTTTCCAATCTCTCCAAAAGAATGTGGTGATCGTTGGTGTCAAAAGCAGCACTAAGGTCTAGGAGCATGAGGACAGATACAGAGCCTTGGTCTGACGCCATTAAAAGGTCATTTACCACCTTCACGAGTGCAGTCTCAGTGCTATGATGGGGTCTAAAACCAGACTGAAGCGTTTCGTTTACCAGAGCATGTGAGCGGAGTTGAGCAGTTAGAAAATCCTGCTCATTGCTCATAGAGCGGTGCTTCTGCTCTGGCGCTCCATGTCCTTTCCAACCTCTCCACTAAAAACCGTTTCACGCTCACCAAAAAAAACTGCTTCTCCAAATTCGCTCCATTCATTTAAAACCACAATTTAACCAAAACCCATCTATTTTTGTGACTACCTGGACCTACCATTTGTTTTTTTTGTATTGAAATCAAACCATATGGATTTTAATAAAGTATTTGAATTAACATGAAAAAGTGAATGTAAGAAGTGCACATCAGTTCAAATTAGCTACATGTCATATTAAACAGCATTTAAACACTAAATAGGTCATGAGTCAGACAGGGAGCATACCTTGATGCTTTGTTAAATCTAACGAGACACTGCTCTAAATCAAGCAGACCACAACAGATGATCAATATCAATTCGCTAGGGATATTAGCTCCAATGTGGATCCAGGCACCACTGTCTTCACCAGCGTAATGAATGCGACACCAAAATATTCTGGACATTCCTCGCAAACACTTTTTCTCCAACATTTGGCCTGCTGCATCGCATGCACAATCACAACAGCTGTTCGTCATTTGACTGTCATTTTAGAAAATTCCTTCCTGGATCAGATGATGATGATGATGTGTAAAAATATCATGCCGTAACTAATCAGCTGGCCACCAAATGCGCATCCAACAAGTATTATGCATCATTATTTTACATTTACATTTTAGTCGTTTAGCAGACGCTCTTATCCAGAGCGACTTAAAATTAGTGAGTGCATACATTTTCATACTGGCCCCCCGTGGGAACGAACCCACAACCCTGGCGTTGCAAGCGCCATGCTCTACCAACTGAGCTACACAGGACGCATATTATGGAAGAACCACGTTAATGACAGTATCAGTCTAGGTTATAAGTATCAAGGTAAGGTGACTTTCGGCTAGAAGCATTTGGTTTTGTAATGCATAAATTATTTTTATATGAATGTGCCTATGACAACTGTTTTCACCCTGTAACATAAGGAGAGTCGTAATGTTACGTAGTTACACAGAATTTCTGAAGTCGCTATACAACAAACTGCCGTACAGCTAGATCCAGGATTCTTACAGGTTTCAAGTTCAATGTCCAATTTAACTGATTAATGCTAAATACAGTGTGTAGAACAAGTATTTGATACACTGCCGATTATGCAGGTTTTCCTACTTACAAAGCATGTAGGTCTGTAATTTTGATCATAGGTACACTTCAACTGTGAGAGACGGAATCTAAAACAAAAATCCAGAAAATTACATTGTATGATTTTAAAGTAAATAATTTGCATTTTATTGCATGACATAAGTATTTGATCACCTACCAACCAGTAAGAATTCCAGCTCTCACAGACCTGTTAGTTTTTCTTTAAGAAGCCCTCCTGTTCTCCACTCATTACCTGTATTAACTGCACCTGTTTGAACTCGTTACCTGTATAAAAGACACCTGTCCACACACTCATTCAAACAGACTCCAACCTCTCCACAATGGCCAAGACCAGAGAGCTGTGTAAGGACATCAGGGATGAAATTGTAGACCTGCACTAGGCTGGGATGGGCTACAGGACAATAGGCAAGCAGCTTGGTGAGAAGGCAACAACTGTTGGCGCAATTATTAGAAAATGGAAGAAGTTCAAGATGACGGTCAATCACCCTCGGTCTGGGGCTCCATGCAAGATCTCACCTCGTGGGGAATCAATGATCATGAGGAAGGTGAGGGATCAGCCCAGAACTACACGGCAGGACCTGGTCAATGACCTGAAGAGAGCTGGGACCACAGTCTCAAAGAAAACCATTAGTAACACACTACGCTGTCATGGATTAAAATCCTGCATCGCACGCAAGGTCCCCCTGCTCAAGCCAGCGCATGTCCAGGCCCATCTGAAGTTTGCCAATGACCATCTGGATGATCCAGAGGAGGAATGGGAGAAGGTCATGTGGTCTGATGAGACAAAAATAGAGCTTTTTGGTCTAAACTCCACTCGCCGTGTTTGGAGGAAGAAGAAGGATGAGTACAACCCCAAGAACACCATCCCAACCGTGAAGCATGGAGGTGGAAACATCATCCTTTGGGGATGCTTTTCTGCAAAGGGGACAGGACGACTGCACCGTATTGAGGGGAGGATGGATGGGGCCATGTATCGCGAGATCTTGGCCAACAACCTCCTTCCCTCAGTAAGAGCATTGAAGATGGGTCGTGGCTGGGTCTTCCAGCATGACAACGACCCAAAACACACAGCCAGGGCAACTAAGGAGTGGCTCCGTAAGAAGCATCTCAAGGTCCTGGAGTTGCCTAGCCAGTGTCCAGACCTGAACCCAATAGAAAATCTTTGGAGGGAGCTGAAAGTCCGTATTGCCCAGCGACAGCCCCGAAACCTGAAGGATCTGGAGAAGGTCTGTGTGGAGGAGTGGGCCAAAATCCCTGCTGCAGTGTGTGCAAACCTGGTCAAGACCTACAGGAAATGTATGATCTCTGTAATTGCAAACAAAGGTTTCTGTACCAAATATTAAGTTCTGCTTTTCTGATGTATCAAATACTTATGTCATGCAATAAAATGCAAATTATTTACTTAAAAATCATACAATGTGATTTTCTAGATTTTTGTTTTAGATTCCGTCTCTCACAGTTGAAGTGTACCTATGATACAAATTACAGACCTCTACATGCTTTGCAAGTAGGAAAACCTGCAAAATTGGCAGTGTATCAAATACTTGTTCTCCCCACTGTATATGATTTAAAGACACCTTAACCTGCCATAAATGCAAGGACAGAAAGGTAATGTTTTATCAAATTGTATTTGTCACATGCGCCAAATACCACAGGTGTAGCCCTTACTGTGAAATGCTTACTTAACCAACAATGCAGTTCAGGAAATGGTTAAGAAAATATTTACTTTTTATTGTATTTTTTACTTTAGTTTATTTAGTAACACAATAACAATAAGACTATATACAGGGGGTACCGGTACCGAGTCAATGTGTGGTGGTACAGGTTAGTCAAGGTTATTTGTACATGTAGGTAGGGGTAAAGTGACTATGCATAGATGATAAACAGCGAGTAGCAGCAGTGTAAAAACAATTTAAGGGGGTGTCAATGTAAATAGTCCGGGTGGCCATTTGATTAATGGGTGGCCATTTTGATTAATTGTTCAGCAGTTTTTTGGCTTGGGGGTAGAAGCTATTAAGGAGCCTTTTGGACCTAGACTTGGCGATCCGGTACCGCTTGCCGTGCAGTAGCAGTGAGAACCGTCAATGACTTGGGTGACTGGAGTCTTTAACAATTTTTTGGCCCTTCCTCTGACACAGCTTAGTATAAACAGTGAGGGGAAAAAATGTATTTGATTCCCTGCTGATTTTGTACGTTTGCCCACTGACAAAGAAATGATCAGTCTATCATTTTAATGGTAGGTTTATTTGAACAGTGAGAGACAGAATAACAACAACAAAATCCAGAAAAACACATGTCAAAAATGTTATAAATTGATTTGCATTTTAATTAGGGAAATAAGTATTTGATACCCTGTCAATCAGAAAGATTTCTGGCTCCCAGGTGTCTTTTTATACAGGTAACGAGCTGAGATTAGGAGCACACTCTTAAAGGGAGTGCTCCTAATCTCAGCTTGTTACCTGTATAAAAGACAACTGTCCACAGAAGCAATCAATCAATCAGATTCCAAACTCTCCACCATGGCCAAGACCAAAGAGCTCTCCAAGGATGTCAGGGACAAGATTGTAGACCTACACAAGGCTGGAATGGGCTACAAGACCATCGCCAAGCAGCTTGGTGAGAAGGTGACAACAGTTGGTGCGATTATTCGCAAATGGAAGGAACTGTCAATCTCCCTCGGCCTGGGGCTCCATGCAAGATCTCACCTCATGGAGTTGCAATGATCATGAGAACGGTGAGGAATCAGCCCAGAACTACACGGGAGGATCTTGTCAATGATCTCAAGGCAGCTGGGACCATAGTCACCAAGAAAACAATTGGTAACACACTACGCCGTGAAGGACTGAAATCCTGCAGCGTCCGCAAGGTTCCCCTGCTCAAGAAGGCACATATACAGGCCTGTCTGAAGTTTGCCAATGAACATCTGAATGATTCAGAGGAGAACTGGGTTAAAGTGTTGTGGTCAGATGAGACCAAAATCGAGGTCTTTGGCATCAACTCAACTCGCCGTGTTTGGAGGAGGAGGAATGCTGCCTATGACCCCAAGAACACCATCCCCACCGTCAAACATGGAGGTGGAAACATTATGCTTTGGGGGTGTTTTTCTGCTAAGGGGACAGGACAACTTCACCGCATCAAAGGGACGATGGACGGCGCCATGTACCATCAAATCTTGGGTGAGAACCTCCTTCCCTCAGCCAGGGCATTGAAAATGGGTCGTGGATGGGTATTCCAGCATGACAATTACCCAAAACACACGGCCAAGGCAACAAAGGAGTGGCTCAAGAAGCAGCACATTAAGGTCCTGGAGTGGCCTAGCCAGTCTCCAGACCTTAATCCCATAGAAAATCTGTGGAGGGAGCTGAAGGTTCGAGTTGCCAAACGTCAGCCTCGAAACCTTAATGACTTGGAGAAGATCTGCAAAGAGGAGTGGGACAAAATCCCTCCTGAGATGTGTGCAAACCTGGTGGCCAACTACAAGAAACGTCTGACCTCTGTGATTGCCAACAAGGGTTTTGCCACCAAGTACTAAGTCATGTTTTGCAGAGGAGTCAAATACTTATTTCCCTCATTAAAATGCAAATCAATTTATAACATTCTTGACATGCGTTTTTCTGGATTTTGTTGTTGTTATTCTGTCTCTCACTGTTCAAATAAACCTACCATTACAATTATAGACTGATCATGTCTTTGTCAGTGGGCAAACGTACAAAATCAGCAGGGGATCAAATACTTTTTTCCCTCACAGTAGGTCCTGGATGGCAGGAAGCTTGGCCCCAGTGATGTACTTGGCCGTACGGACTACCCTCTGTAGCGCCTTACGTTACGGTCGGATGCCAAGCAGTTGCCATACCAGGTGGTGATGCAACCGGTCAGGATGCTCTCGATGGTGCAGGATGCTCTTTATGCCACACAATCTTGGACAAATCCGTCAAGACGCCAACCATGATAATGGGTTAAACAGGTTTTAATTAAACTTGTGACTTAAAAAATAATTGAATATAGCTATGACTGGCTTCATCAATAAGTGCATCGATGACGTCGTCCCCACAGGGACTGTACATACATACCCCAACCAGAATCCATGGATTACAGGCAACATCCACACTGAGCTAAAGCTTTCGCTTTCAAGGAGCGGGACTCTAACCTGGAAGCTTATAAGAAATCCTGCTATGCCCTCCGACGAACCATCAAATAGGCAAAGCGTCAATACAGGACTAAGGTTGAATCGTACTACACCGGCTCCGACGCTCGTCGGATGTGGCAGGGCTTGCAAACTATTACAGACTACAAAAGGAAGCACAGCCGCAAGCTGCCCAGTGACACGAGCCTACCAGACGGGCTAAATTACTTCTATGCTCGCTTCGAGGCAAGTAACACTGAAACATGCATGAGAGCATCAGCTGTTCCAGATGACTGTGTGATCACGCTCTCCGTAGCCGATGTAAGCCGTAGCCGAGTAAGACCTTTAAACAGGTCAACATTCACAAGGCTGCAGGGCCAGACGGATTACCAGGACGTGTACTCCGAGCATGTGCTGACAAACTGGCAAGTGTCTTCACTGACATTTTCAACCTCTCCCTGTCTGTCTGTAATACCAACATGTTTCAAACAGACCACCATAGTCCCTGTACCCAAGAACACTAAGGTAACCTGCCTAAATGACTACCGATCCGTGGCACTCACATCTGTAGCCATGAAGTGCTTTGAAAGGCTGGTCATGGCTCACATCAACACCATTATCCCAGAAACCCTAGACCTACTCCAATTTGCATATCGCCCCAACAGATCCACAGATGATGCAATCTCTATTGCGCTCCACACTGCCCTTTCACACCTGGACAAAGGGAACACCTATGTGAGAATGCTATTAATTGACTACAGCTCAGCGTTCAACACCATAGTGCCCTCAAAGCTCATCACTAAGCTAAGGACCCTGGGACTAAACACCTCCCTCTGCAACTGGATCCTGGACTTCCTGACGGGCTGCCCCCAGGTGGTAAGGGTAGGTAACAACACATACGCCACGCTGCTCCTCAACACGGGGTCCCCTCAGGGGTGCGTGCTCAGTCCCCTCCTGTACTCCCTGTTCACTCATGACTGCATGGCAAGGCACGACTCCAACACCATCATTAAGTTTGCCGATGACACAACCGTGGTAGGCCTGATCACCGACAACAACGAGACAGCCTATAGGGAGGAGGTCAGAGACCTGGCCGTGTGGTGCCAGGTGAACAACCTCTCCCTCAACGTGATCAAGACAAAGGAGATGATTGTGGACTACAGGAAAAAGACGACCGAGCACGCCCCCATTCTCATCGACGGGGCTGTAGTGGAGCAGGTTGAGAGCTTCAAGTTCATTGGTGTCCACATCACCAACAAATTAACATGGTCCAAGCACACCAAGACAGTCGTGAAGAGGGCACGACAAAACCTATTTCCCCTAAGGAGACTGAAAAGATTTGGCACCATCGAGAGCATCCTGACTGGTTGCATCACTGCCTGGTATGGCAACTGCTCGGCCTCCGACCGCAAGGCACTACAGAGGGTAGTGCGTACGGCCCAGTACATCACTGGGGCCAAGCTTCCTGCCATCCAGGACCTCTATACTAGGTGTCCAGCCACCCTAGTCATAGACTGTTCTCTCTGCTACCGCATGGCAAGCAGTACCGGAGCGCCAAGTCTAGGTCCATGAGGCTTCTAAACAGCTTTTACCCCCAAGCCGTAAGACTCCTGAACATCTAATCAAATGGCTACCCAGACTATTTGCATTGCCCCACCCCTCTTTTACACAGCTGCTACTCTCTGTATATTATCTATGCATAGTCACTTTAATAACTCTTCCTACATGTACATATTACCCCAATTACCTTGACTAACCGGTGCCCCCACACATTGACTCGGTACCAGTACCCCCTGTATATAGCCTCGCTATTGTTATTTTTACTGCTGCTCTTTAATTATTCGTTACTTTTATTTTTGTATTATTTTACATTTGTTTTGGTGTTCTTTCTTAACTGCATTGTTGGTTAAGGGCTTGTAAGTAAGCATTTCACTGTAAGGTCTACACCTGTTGTATTCGGCGCATGTGACAAATACAATTTGATTTGATTTAAAGGTCAGATTATACCCCCCTCTCCTATTCCTCCTCCCTCTCATGGTTTAGGGTTCTGGAGTGTCCCGATAAGAGGTGTGATTCTGGGATTAGGGATAGTTCCACTGGAGCTGTGTCTCTTTTGGGATAATAGATGATCCTGGGAGTGTGGATGTGGGGAAACAAACACAGCACATTATCACTGGAGGACAGAGAACACAGAGCGAACAGAAAGCCCAGCTGGTGACTGTCTGCCCAGGACCTTGCAAAGACTAGGCTACGGCAGGAGGTCTTTGTGTGTTCGTTGTGTATGTGTGCGCATTACTTTGTGCGTTCGTTCGTACAGTGTGTGTGTGTGTTTTGTATTATTGTCTAGGCCTAAGAATGTTTTAGGGCAATTCCACGGTAACAGTGATGCTGAGATTTTTCACTTTAAAATGTATGTTAAAAACCAAGGATTGCGAAGTTACCAAACTTTGCATCTGCACTGTTCTTCAAGTGAATGTGTTTTTGTAATATTTTCTGTGGAAACTGTTCAAAGTAGGCCTTGTGCATAGAGGTGTGTGGTTTGTTTAACTTTGCAATCATTTGTTTTTGTTTGCCATACATTTTAAAGTGAAAAAGCAGTCTCAGCATCACTCTGTTGTCGTAGAATTCACTCTGTTGTCGTAGAACAGCGCCGGAAGAAGATGGCTGCCGTTTTACAGCCCTCTAACCAATTGTACTATTATGTGTGTTTTTCCGCGTTATTTGTAATTTATTTTGTACATAATGTTTCTGCCATCGTCTCTTATAACCAAAGAGAGCTTCTGGATATCAGGACAGCGATTACTCACCTCGCGTTGGACGAACACTTTTTCTTCAACGAGGCGTTCGCGAAGGATATTCTACAGACTCCCGACAAGGCCCAGATCCCCGTCATTCGCGTGAGGAAGAGACGGAGATATCGTGGACGCAGATCCGGGTGCCTTGTAAGGATCCGACGGCGAACGAGTAAACTGCCTCTCCCATCAATCCTATTAGCCAACGTTCAAGCTTTGGAGAATAAAATGGACGATTTAAGATTACGGTTATCCTACCAACGGGACATTAAAAACTGTAATATCTTATGTTTCACGGAGTCGTGGCTGAACGACGACAATGATAACATTCAGCTAGCAGGCTATACGCTACATCGGCAGGACAGAACGGCAGACTCGGGTAAGACGAGGGGTGGCGGTCTCTGTATATTTGTAAACAACAGCTGGTGCACAAAATCAAATACTAAGGAAGTCTCAAGGTTTTGCTCGCCTGAGGTAGAGTATCTTATGATAAGCTGTAGACCACACTATTTACCAAGAGAGTTTTCATCTATATTTTTCATAGCTGTCTATTTACCACCACAAACCAATGCTGGCATTAAGATTGCACTGAATGAGTTGTACAAGGCCATTAATCAACAGGAAAACGCTCATCCAGATGCAGCGCTCCTAGTAGCAGGGGACTTTAATGCAGGGAAACTTAAATCCGTTCTACCTAATTTCTACCAGCATGTTAAATGTGCAACCAGAGGGGAAAAAACTCTAGACCACCTTTACTCCACACACAGAGACGCATACAAAGCTCTCCCTCGCCCTCCATTTGGCAAATCTGACCATAACTCTATCCTCCTGATTCCTGCTTATAAGCAAAAACTGAAGCAGGAAGCACCAGTGATTCGGCTAATAAAAAAGTGGTCAGATGACGCAGATGCTAAGCTACAGGACTGTTTTGCTAGCACAGACTGGAACATGTTCCGGGATTCTTCAGACAGCATTGAGGAGTACACCACATCAGTCACTGGCTTCATCAATAAGTGCATCGATGATGTCGTCCCCACAGTGACCGTACGTACATACCCCAACCAGAAGCCATGGATTACAGGAAACATCCGCACTGAGCTAAAGGGTAGAGCTGCCGCTTTCAAGGAACGGGACTCTAACCCGGACGCTTATAAGAAATCCCGCTATGACCTCCGACGAACCATCAAACAGGCAAAGAGTCAATACAGGTCTAAGATTGAATCATACTACACTGGCTCTGACGCTCGTCGGATGTGGCAGGGCTTGAAAACTATTACAGACTACAAAGGGAAGCACAGCCGCGAGCTGCCCAGTGACACAAGCCTACCAGACGAGCTAAACCACTTCTATGCTCGCTTCGAGGCAAGCAACACTGAAGCATGCATGAGAGCACCAGCTGTTCCGGACGACTATGTGATCACGCTCTCCGTAGCCGATGTGAGTAAGACTTTTAAGCAGGTCAACATTCACAAGGCCGCAGGGCCAGACGGATTACCAGGACGTGTACTCCGAGCATGTGCTGACCAACTGGCAAGTGTCTTCACTGACATTTTCAACATGTCCCTGACTGAGTCTGTAATACCAACATGTTTCAAGCAGACCACCATAGTCCCCGTGCCCAAGAACTCTAAGATAACCTGCCTAAATGACTACCGACCCGTGGCACTGACGTCTGTAGCCATGAAGTGCTTTGAAAGACTGGTCATGGCTCACATCAACAGCATAATCCCAGAAACCCTAGACCCACTCCAATTTGCATACCGCCCCAACAGATCCACAGATGATGCAATCTCTATCGCACTCCACACTGCCCTTTCCCACCTGGACAAGAGGAACACCTACGTGAGAATGCTATTCATTGACTACAGCTCAGCATTCAACACCATAGTGCCCTCAAAGCTCATCACTAAGCTAAGGATCCTGGGACTAAACACCTCCCTCTGCAACTGGATCCTGGACTTCCTGACGGGCCGCCCCCAGGTGGTAAGGGTAGGTAACAACACATCTGCCACACTGATCCTCAACACGGGGGCCCCTCAGGGGTGCGTGCTCAGTCCCCTCCTGTACTCTCTGTTCACCCATGACTGCATGGCCAGGCACGACTCAAACACCATCATTAAGTTTGCCGACGACACAACAGTGGTAGGCCTGATCACCGACAACGATGAGACAGCCTATAGGGAGGAGGTCAGAGATCTGGCCGTGTGGTGCCAGGACAACAACCTCTCCCTCAACGTGACCAAGACAAAGGAGATGATTGTGGACTACAGGAAAAAAAAGAGGACTGAGCACGCCCCCATTCTCATCGACGGGGCTGTAGTGGAACAGGTTGAGAGCTTCAAGTTCCTTGGTGTCCACATCACCAACGAACTATCATGGTCCAAACACACCAAGACAGTCGTGAAGAGGGCACGACAAAGCCTATTCCCCCTCAGGAGACTAAAAAGATTTGGCATGGGTCCTCAGATCCTCAAAAAATTCTACAGCTGCACCATCGAGAGCATCCTGACTGGTTGCATCACCGCCTGGTATGGCAACTGCTTGGCCTCTGACCGCAAGGCACTACAGAGGGTAGTGCGTACGGCCCAGTACATCACAGGGGCAAAGCTCCCTGCCATCCAGGACCTCTATACCAGGCGGTGTCAGAGGAAGGCCCTCAAAATTGTCAAAGACTCCAGCCACCCTAGTCATAGACTGTTCTCTCTGCTACCGCACGGCAAGCGGTACCGGAGTGCCAAGTCTAGGTCCAAAAGACTTCTCAACAGCTTCTACCCCCAAGCCATAAGACTCCTGAACAGCTAATCATGGCTACCCGGACTATTTGCACTGCCCCCCCACCCCATACTTTTTACGCTGCTGCTACTCTGTTAATTATTTATGCATAGTCACTTTAACTCTACCCACATGTACATATTACCTCAACTACCTCAACTAGCCGGTGCCCCCGCACATTGACTATGCAACGGTACCCCCCTGTATATATAGCCTCCCTACTGTCACTTTATTCTATTGTATATATAGCCTCCCTACTGTCACTTTATTTTTACTTCTGCTCTTTTTTTCTCAACACTTTTTTGTTGTTGTTTTATTCTTACTTTTTTGTTTAAAATAAATGCACTGTTGGTTAAGGGCTGTAAGTAAGCATTTCACTGTAATGTCTGCACCTGTTGTATTCGGCGCATGTGACCAATAAAATTTGATTTGATTTGATTTTGATTTGAATTGCTCTTTATAAGATTATAGCGAGTAGAGTGGGTGTCTAAAATGTGCCCAAAATTTTAACAAAAAGATTAAGCCCTTTGTTGGCAGTGTCAAAAACAAAATATTCCTTGTCTGTCCCACGATCCACTATCAGCATCCCTGTTCTCAGTGTTCCTGTGAAATGACCTAAGTGTGTGTGCCCGCCCACCTGGGTGTGATCCAAACCTAGCGCCATAAAATCAAGTGTTTTATTCTGCGGACACGACAGCTCAAGCTCTCTCACACCAAACAGCCAGTTAGTCAGACGCACAGATAGTTGCAGAACAATAATTGTCCGTGTGTGTCGTCTCTGTCAGACCAAAGCTCTCCACGTGCTGAAGAATCGCTGCACTGTCTCCTGTCATCTCACACTCACAGCTGTCGCAAGGCCATGGCCAATATAGACTTAATGACGTGCCATTCGGTCTTTATTTACGCTCTGTACAAAGGTGTCACTCTGCTTAAAGAATAAAGATAGCCAAGTGATAATGATATTCAGTGTTTGCCCTAGGATTATTTTCAGAAGTGGTGGCAAGTGAGATGCAATGACATGCTAGCTGTTCCCATATACTTCCAGTCATTGATCCAGCAACTATCCATTAAAAAGCGCGTCTTGGCAGAAATACACTACCGTTCAAAAGTTTGGGGTCACTTAGAAATGTTCTTTTTTTTTTTAAGAAAAGTCTTTTTTTTTGTCCATTTAAAATAAAATAAAATTGATCAGAAATACAGTGTAGACACTGTTAATGTTGTAAATGGCTATTGTAGCTGGAAACGGCTGATTTTTAATGGAATATCTACATAGGCGTACAGAGGCCCATTATCAGCATCCATCAGTCCTGTGTTCCAATGGCACGTTGTGTTTGCTAATTCAAGTTTATCATTTTAAAAGGCTAATTGATCATTAGAAAACCCTTTTGCAATTATGTTAGCACAGCTGAAAACTGTTGTGCTGATTAAAGAAGCAATAAAACTGGCCTTCTTGAGACTAGTTGAGTATCTGGAGCATCAGCAATTGTGGGTTCGATTACAGGCTCAAAATGGCCAGAAACAAAGAACTTTCTTCTGAAACTCGTCAGTCTTTTCTTGTTCTGAGAAATGAAGGCTATTCCATGCGAGAATTTGCCAAGAAACTGAAGATGTAGTACAAAGCTGTGTACTACTCCCTTCACAGAACAGCGTAAACTGGCTCTATCCAGAATAGAAAGAGGAGTGGGAGGCCCCAGTGCACAACTGAGCAAGAGGACACATAAATACATTAGTGTCTAGTTTGAGAAACAGATGCCTCACAGTTCCTCAACTGGCAGCTTCATTAAATGGTACCCGCAAAACACCAGTCTCAACATCAACAGTGAAGAGGCGTCTCCGGGATGCTGACCTTCTAGGCAGAGTTGCAAAGAAAAAGTATAGTGTTATTTTGCCCATCTTAATCTTTTATTTTTATTGGCCAGTCTAAGATATGGCTTTTTCATCACTGGGGCCAAGGTTCCTGCCATCCAGGACCTCTATACCAGGCGGTGTCAGAGGAAGGCCCTAAAAATGGTCAAATACTCCAGCCACCCTAGTCATAGACTGTTCTCTGCTACCGCACGGCAAGCGGTACCGGAGCGTCAAGTCTAGGTCCAAAAGGCTTCTTAACAGCTTCTACCCCCAGGCCATAAGACTCCTGAACAGCTAATCATGGCTACCCAGACTATTTGCATTGCCCCCCCCCCCACTCCACCCCCTCTTTTACGCTGCTGCTACTCTGTTTATTATCTATGCACAGTCACTTTAACTCTACCCACATGTACATATTACCTCCACTAACCGGTGCCTCCACACATTGACTCTGTACCGTTACCCCCTGTATATAGCCTCCCGACTGTTATTTTATTTTACTGCTGCTCTTTAATTTAATTTTTTACTCAACACTTTTTTTCTTATCTGCATTGTTGGTTAATGACTTGTGAGTAAGCATTTCACTGTAAGGTCTACACCTGTTGTATTCGGCGCATGTGGCAAATAAATTTTGATTTGATTTGTAAAGTTCTGTCAGGTTGTATGGGGAGAGCGTCTCTCCAGAGATGATCGATCGGGTTCAAGTCCAGGCTCTGACTGGGCCACTCATGGACATTCAGAGACTTGTCCCGAAGCCACTCCTGCGTTGTCTTGGCTGTGTGCTTAGTGTCGTTGTCTTGTTGGAAGATGAACTTTCTCCCCAGTCTGAGGTCCTGAGCGCTCTGCAGCAGGTTTTCATCAAGGATCTCTGTACTTTGCTCAATTAATCTTTCCCTCGATCCTGACTAGTCTCCCAGTCCCTGCTGCTGAAAAACATCCCCACATCATGATCCTTCCACCACCATGCTTCACCGTAGGGATGATGCCAGGTTTCCTCCAGACGCGACGCTTGGTATTCAGGCCAAAAGAGTTCAATCTTGGTTTCATCAGACCAGAGAATCTTGTTTCTCATAGTCTGAGAGTCTTTTGGGGCCTTTTGGAAAACTCCAAGCGGGCTGTTGTGTCTTTTACTGAGGAGTGGCTTCCGTCTGGCCACTCTACCATAAAGGCCTGATTGGTGGAGTGCTGCAGAGATGGTTGTCCTTCTGGAAGGTTCTCCCACCTCCACAGAGGAACTCTGGAGCTCCTTAAGAGTGACCATCGGGTTCTTGGTCACCTCCCTGACCAAGGCCCTTCTCCCCTGATTGCTCAGTTTGGCCGGGCGGCCAGCTCTAGGTATAGTCTTGGTGGTTCCAAACTTCTTCCATTTAAGAATGATGGAGGCCACTGTGTTCTTGGGGACCTTCAATGCTGCAGACATTTTTTGGTACCCTTCCCCAGATCTGTGCCCTGACACAATCCTGTCTCGGCACTCTACGGACATTTCCTTCGACCTCATGGCTTGGTTTTTGCTCTGACATGCACTGTCAACTGTGGGACCTTATTTAGGCAGGTGTGTGCCTTTCCAAATCACATCAAATCAATTGAATTTTCCACAAGTGGACTTCAATCAAGTTGTAGAAACATCTCAAGAATGTTCAATGGAAACAGGATGCACCTGAGCTCAATTTCGAGTCTAATAGCAAAGGGTCTGAATTCTTATGTAAAAAAAGGTATTTCTGTTTTCTTTTGTAATACATTTGCAAATATTTCTAAAAACCTGTTTTCACTTTGTCATTATGGGGTATTGTGTGTAGATTGAGGAAAACAATTAATTTAATAAATTTTAGTATAAGGCTGTAACTTAACAAAATGTGGAAAAAGTCAAGGTCTGAATTCTTCCCGAATGCACTGTATATATTTTTTTAATTACATATTTTTTTGCAGCAGCGGCAAGAATTTAGATTTATCTAGGGGAAACACTTATATTATTATGGGGTTGGAAAAGGGCCAGTGAATTGCACTGAATTGATATATTCATTTATTGAGCCCTTTTTAACTAAGAAGTCGGCTGGTGAAATGGATGCGTCATGGACCATGGTTTAGTAACTATTAACTACTGACATGGTATAAATTGGTTTCATGAAAATCACCCCAATAGTCGTAATGAAGTGCATCATGCCTTTTATTCACACCCAACAGACGTGTTGTTAGTGTCACTATATAGAAGTTAACTGAATGCGGTGATAGGGTAACGATATGATGCGGTTGTATAAGGTTAACTCTTTTTTTTTTTTTTAAGACAACACATTCTCTTTTACAAAAACGACCTGACCTAGAGGGAGCAATGAAATAGAATCGCACAGCATCTCACAATGCTAGGCTAACAGAACAGAGTTGAGTGTAAAAGGAGTAGTGGCGCTGCAGTGTTTACAATTAAAGTTTGTTTACATCGCTCTGAAGCATAATAAGGGAGTCCTGATCCAAATGCCTCCTCCATAGGGATTTCAGCAATGCACATACTCTTTTTCCAGAGCTACACACACACACAGGTAAGAATCCCTGAGTGCCTCTCTGGCTCTCACCATATCACTCATTATGAGAATCAGTCTGCATCCGTGCTGAGCACCAAAGCTCCTCATACACAACACTGATGAGGGCCCAAGGGAGAGACACACACACACACACCTCCCTTTCCCGGCTTGTCAGTCCAGGGGGGTGGGAGGCGGGGACGATGTACTAGCCAAGCCAGTGAAGCCACATGCCAAGCCCTACCCTGGCAGAGCGAGAGGGAGGGTTGCACTTCACTACTAGGCTCCTCAGCACATTTTCATGCCCTTGTATGTTCATGAGCCACTCGAGGGAGGGGCTGCCCGCCCCTTGCTGTCAGTTTCACATATCACCTCCAAACAGGAAGTGTTGTGGTGCAACTGAGCAGCAGTGGAGACGTGCCAGGCAGACAGATGCTGGATGCTCCGACGTTATGAAGAGAGGGCAACTCTCACAATTCTCACTTCTCTACAGTGGCGGAGAAGTGAGAATTGTGGTTGTAAACCCACTGTATTCGTCCATCATGCTATTGGCCTCAATAACAGAGAAACAGAGGGAGAGGAAAGTTGACCATAAATGGATGAAAACACATCTACCCAATGTTATCCCTATCCCACTGTGCTGTTCTGTGCTGGTCCTGATGTTTGTGTTGCTGACCTCACCAGTCTCCAGACTGAGATCTCAAAGTTTAGGAAAACGAGAATGTTGCCTGTGTGATTCACTGATCTAAGAGATTTGTGTTGGTACTAAGCCTACCCTTGCATTTCTGACGTGTGTTTGAAAGTGTGTCTTTGTGTTTGCAGGTACGCATAGCAGCAAACTTTGTCATCCACGCCCCACCGGGAGAGTTCAATGAAGTTTTCAACGGTGAGCTTTTGTTTGTAGCCTATGTTTTAGGATGCGTGTGTATGGACCAAAGCCAGGAGCAGGAATCTAGCTTGTGAGGATCACAACTCACACTTTAGGTAGTAAGCTATAGCGAGTATTTCTCACTAGAGATGTTATGACACAGATCATTCCTCAGCATCTTGAAACCACACACTACAGAGCAGAGCACTCACACACAGAGAGTATCTGTATCTTAGTATCTAACTAAAACCCACACATGTAAGCTCTCTCTAGTCTTCTCTTAACTATCAGTTATGAAAGAAAGTCTCGTTAACCAAAGTAGCTGGCCCATATCGCCCTCAGACTGTGCACTAGGCCTATACTGCTAACATAAAGCACGAATGACAGACCAGTCACCACTAGGGCTGTTACGGTGACCGTATTACCGCCACACCGGTGGTCATGAGTCATGACGGCAGTCAAATTACATGTACATTTAAAAAAAAAACATTTTAGTCATTTAGCAGACGCTCTTATCCAGAGCGACTTACAGTTAGTGAGTGCATACATTATTTTATTTTTTTCATACTGGAATCGAACCCACAACCCTGGCGTTGCAAATGCCATGCTCTACCAACTGAGCTACATCCCTGCCGGCCATTCCCTCCCCTACCCTGGACGACGCTGGGCCAATTGTGCGCCGCCCCATGGGTCTCCCGGTCGCGGCCTGCTACGACAGAGCCTGGATTCGAACCAGGATCTCTAGTGACACAGCTAGCACTGCGATGCAGTGCCTTAGACCACTGCGCCACGTGACATTTTAGTTATGGTAATTAGGCTTCTCCAAGCTCTGATGCTGCTGATGGTCATTAGTAGCCTACCAAACTTGCTAAGTTGCCTGTTACTCAGCACTCTATTGTCCCTCAAATCACTCTGACATCAATGCATATGCAATTCAAAAATCTAATCAAACACTTCATGAGAGTTCATGTTGCGCAACATTTCTATAGGCTCTACAACTTTGTGAGAACAGAGTGATGGCCTCTATTAAAAAGAGGAGGATCCCATCAGCTTTCTGTAGGCTAGTCCTACTACATTTATTAATCAACTTTCCTAATATTAAGCACATTGCTTCTCTTTACAACAGGAGTATAGCCTACCTGGCTGGCATGAAAATGAACCATGGGAAAAGCGTCCCCCATTCGCTATTTAAGTGCATAGATGACATGTATTTTTTTCCGCTGCCCCTGTTTCGAGACCGGTGCATGATAATGGTCCGTTTTAAATCAAAACAAATTTCACACATATTATTTTGTATATGTAAAGACAAGATTAAATCAAGAATAGTGTGATGGGTGACAATATTAGCATATCACTTGTGAATGATATATTATCACTTGTGAATGATGCCCAGTTTAAGGCAAGAAACAGCGCATGCTTTTTTTGCGACTTTTTCCAAATCAGTCGCACACCTCAAGGTTTGTATCACAACTAAAGTGGCCAAATAACTTATTCAAATGAAGCACATTAATCAGCTTTACAACGGGTGTAGAGCTTAACTGGCATACATACGCAGCGCGTGAGTTTCAATTTTGGGGAAGATCATTTTCACCATAAAAATGCACCTTTTTATAATATAAGCATTATTCATAATCTCATTTGTGGGCACTTTTGAGAATGGTGTTTTCCTGCTAATGGAACATTCACGCTTATAGCCTACTGCCATGTGCGCATTGCTGCGCTTATAATGTGAAGAAATACCCTAATTATTTATCAACATCTTAAGCTAAACGTTCTCATCTGTTGCGTCAGGCTCATTGCTTAAAACAGGTTTTTTGATGCTAGTTGTTGTATTAATTTGAGATCTATCGCATCCCACAACTGTCCCAGACTATGTTTGGAATATTTACAGTGCATTCAGACCATTGACTTTTTCCACATTTTGTTACGTTACAGCCTTATTCTAAAATTGATGAAATTATTTTTTTCCCTTATCAATCTACACCAAATACCCCATAATGACAAAGCGAAAACAGGTTTTTAGAAATGTTTGCAAATGTATTAAAAATAAAAAAACGAAATGCCTTATTTACATAAGTGTTCAGACCCTTTGCTATGCCGCTCAAAATTGAGCTCAGGTGCATCCTATTTCCATTGATCATCCTTGAGATGTTTCTACAACTTGAATGAAGTCCACCTGTGGAAAATTCAATTGATTTGATATGATTTGGAAAGGCGCACACACCTGCCTAAATAAGGTCTGTCAGTTGAAAGTGCATGTCAGAGCAAAAACCAAGCCATGAGGTCAAAGGAATTGTCTGTAGATCGCCGAGACAGGATTGTGTCAAGGAACAGATCTGGGGAAGGTTGCCAAAACATTTCTGCAGCATTGAAGGTCCCCAAAAACACAGTGGCCTCCATCATTCATAAATGGAAGAAGTTTGAAAACCACCAAGACTCGTCCTAGAGCTGGCCGCCCGGCCAAACTGAGCAATCAGGGGAGAAGGGCCTTGGCCAGGGAGGAACCCGATGGTCACTCTGACAGAGCTCCAGAGTTCGTCTGTGGAGATGGAAGAACCCTCCAGAAGGACAACCATCTCTGCAGCACTCCACCAATCAGGCCTTTATGGTAGAGTGGCCAGATGGAAGCCACTCCTCAGTAAAAGGCACATGACAGCCCGCTTGGAGTTTGCCAAAAGGCACCTAAAGACTCTCAGATCATTAGAAAAAATATTATCTGGTCTGATGAAACCCAGATTTAATTATTTGGCCTGAATGTCAAGCATCATGTCTGGAGGAAACCTGGCACCATCCCTACGGTGAAGCGTGGTGATCGTAGCATCATGCTGTGGGGATGTTTTTCAGGGGCAGGGACTGGGATACTAGTCAGGATTGAGGGAAAGATGAACGGAGCAAAGTACAGATGGATCCTTGATGAAAATCTGCTCCAGAGCGCTCAGGACCTCAGACTGGGCCGAAGGTTCACCTTCCAACAGGACAACAACCTTAAGCACACAGCCAAGACAACGCAGGAGTTGAGGCTGTAATCGCTGCCAAAGGTACTTCAACAAAGTACTGAGTAAAGGGTCTGAATACTTATGTAAATGTGATATTTCCGTGTTATTTTGTATAAATTTGCAAAATTTCTTAAAACCTGTTTTTGCTTTGTCATTGTGGTATTGTGTGTAGATGGATCAGAAGAGAAAATTATAATTTATCCATTTTAGAATAAGGCTGTAACGTAACAAAATGTGGAAAAAGTAAAGGAGTCTGGATACTTTCCGAATGCACTGTATTTCTCGCACAGAATAGAATAGGACAACTTTTGTACTATGGGAGAATAGTAGATTGTAGGGCTGTCCCGACCATAAAACCACAATTTTTTTTTGCATGTATTTTTCCATATGTTTTTTAACCTCTTAAGAATTGGACACTTTTTTTTTCAATTTTCGACTAAAATGACATCCAAATATAGCCATTTGAAAGCACACACTTTGAAGTTTGTGGAAATATGAAATTAATGTAGAAGAATGTAACACATTAGATCTGGTAAAAGATAATACAAACTAAAAAACATGTGTTTTTTTTGTTCCATCATCTTTGAAATGCATTAGAAAGGCCACAATATAATATTGCAGTTTAGGTGCAATTTAGATTTTGGCCACTAGATGGCAGCAGTTTGTGTGTAAAGTTTCAGATTGATCCAGTGAAGCATTGCAATACTGGACTATTTTGTATCAAGTTTGCCCAAATGTGTCGAATTGGTCAATTGATACATTTTCAAGTACATAACTATAGAGAACATACAACAATTATATGGTAATACAAAATGTAAGTTTACACACTCCCAGGAATGTCATACATGATGGATCATTAGCTTATACACTAACTTTCACACATCTAGATGGCCGGGTGGGGTGGGTGTGGAGCCAGAGATAGCAGGGGTTCAAACTGTAGAACCCAGTTCCTACATTTTGAATATAAAAATTGATTTTATCAAACAAAACTATGCTACATTTTATCTCTGGGACCCTTAGGATGACAAATCAGAGCAAGATTACTGAATGTAAGTACATTATTTACCTTCAGAGGTGAATGTATCAAACCAGTTGCCATGATAGTTTTTGTTGTTGTTGTGCACTCTCAAACAATAGCATGGTATTTTTCACTGTAATAGCTACTGTAAATTGGACAGTGCTGTTAGATGAACAAGAATTTAAGCTTTCTGCCCATATAAGACATGTCTATGTCCTGGAAAGTTCGCTGTTACTTACAACAGTCATGCTAATCACGTTAGCGTTAAATAATTACGTAACCAAAATAACAAACATTGTAGGTTAGAAATTAACGGTAAATGTACTACTGGTGATATACACTACCAGTAAAAAGTTTGGACACACACTTTTTCTTTTATTTTTTACTATTTTTTACATTGTAGAATAATAGTGAAGACTTCAAAACTATGAAATAACACATATGGATTCATGTAGTAAACAAGTGTTAAACAAATCAAAATATATATTATATTTGAGATTCTTCAAATAGCCACCCTTTGTCTTGATGACGGCTTTGCACACTCTTGGCATTCTCTCAACCAGCTTCACCTGGAATGCTTTTCCAACAGTCATCTGACTCATCCCAAACTATCTGAATTGGGTTGAGGTCGGGTGATTGTGGAGGCCAGGTCATCTGATGCAGCACTCCATCACTCTCCTTCTTGGTAAAATAGCCCTTACACAGCCTGGAGTTGTGTTGGGTCATTGTCCTGTTGAAAAACAAATGATAGTCCAACTAAGCCCAAACCAGATGGGATGGCGTATCGCTGTAGAATGATGTGGTAGCCATGCTGGTTAAGTGTGCCTTGAATTCTAAATAAATAAGTGTCACCAGCAAAGCACCATAACACCACCACCTCCATGCTTTACGGTGGGAAATACCCATGCGGAGATCATTCGTCCACCCACACCTGCCTCACAAACACACGGCAGTTGGAACCAAAAATCTCCAATTTGAACTCCAGACCAATTTCCACCGGTCTAATGTCCATTGCTCGTGTTTCTTGGCTCAAACAGGTCTCTTCTTCTTATTGGTGTCATTTAGTAGTGGTTTCTTTGCAGCAATTTGACCATGAAGGCCTGATTCACACAGTACCCTCTGAACAGTTGATGTTGAGATGTGTCTGTTACTTGAACTCAGTGAAGCATTTATTTGGGCTGCAATTTCTGAGGCTGGTAACTCTATTGAACTTATCCTCTGTAGCAGAGGTAACTCTGGTTCTTCGTTTCCTGTGGCGGTCCTCATGAGAGCCAGTTTCATCATAGCACTTGATGGTTTTTGCGACTGCACTTGAAGAAACTTTCAAAGTTCTTAATTTTCCGTATTGACTGACCTTCATGTCTTAAAGTAATGATGGACTGTCGTTTCTCTTTGATTATTTGAGCTGTTCTTGCCATAATAAGGACTTGGTCTTTTACCAAATAGGGCTATCTACCTTTTCACAACACAACTGATTGTCTCAAATGCATTAAGAAGGAAATAAATTCCACAAATTAACTTTTAAGAAGGCACACCTGTTAATTTAAATGCATTCCAGGTGACTACCTCATGAAGCTGGTTGAGAGAATGCCAAGAGTGTGCAAAGCTGTCATCAAGGCGAAGGGTGGCTATTTGAAGAATCTCAAATATAAAATATATTTTGATTTTGTTTAACAATTTTTTTTTACTACATGATTCCATATGTGTTATTTCATCGTTTTGTTGTCTTCACTATTGTTCTACAATGTAACATAAAAATATATATATATATATCACTTGAATGAGTAGGGGTGTCCAAACTTTTGACTGGTACTGTATGTAATGGGGAATTGATATACACTAACAATGAAACTCAAACAATTCACACAATGAAGTCATAAAACAATGAAGGCGCACAAATTGGCGGGAGAGAGCGCATTCTGTAGAGAGAAGTGCATTGTGCATCTGGGTGCATGGTCAATCCGACATCTGCATTGACCATGCAGCATTTACGGTGATATTGTCTCAGCGGAAGTCAGGGCATTCATTCTTCTTGCGCTTCACGGAGCAGTGCAGGGCGGTTGTCAAGGAAGTGAGTGAATGTTTATACAGGATGTACCGCCACCACCTACCGTCAACCAATCATGTCAATGCGGAGCTATTCAGAGCCCTCCGCATTGTTACAACATTTGGGAGGTGCATGGCGATGCGGTACGTAGCTGGATTTGGCCTCTGAATGCCTCTGGAGGCTCCGCAATTGCATCACACCCTCCATATGGAGCGTCCGACCACATTTTCGGATCAAACATAAATTGGCTGTTAGTCTAGGCCTCCGCAATGGAGTAGTTCACTGAGATGGAGAGATAGATAGATATATACAGTGAGGGGAAAAAAGTATTTGATCCCCTGCTGATTTTGTACGTTTGCCCACTGACAAAGAAATTATCGGTCTATAATTTTAATAGTAGGTTTATTTGAACAGTGAGAGACAGAATAACAACAACAAAATCCAGAAAAACGCATGTCAAAAATGTTATTTGTGTGTTTGTTACTGCTCGACTAAAACAATTTTGGTCGACCAACATCCTAACGACCAAACAATCGACCAGTCGACTAATTGGGGTCAGCCCAGATTGACATAGGCTAGTGCTTTTGCTGTTCGTTAGGCCTACTCAACTTGTTGGCTGACAAAAAGTAAATGTGGACAGTTCTTCTAATACCTTCAATATGCGCCTTGGAATTGGATAAGGACGCGCACAGTTTTGTCTGTCTTCACTTGTAGCCTGTGAGAAAGACCTGATTTACGTGAAGGAGAGCCATGTGAGTGAGTGGTGCTCACAGTCATACAGTCAGTAGGGCAGCCCTTCCTCATTGAGGCCTCAGCCATGAACACACACATGCCGGTTGAGGGACAAAGACCCAGGAACTAATTAGCACACTAGCTAGGTTTCCATCCAATTTGGCAACAGATTTTCATGCAAATATTCTAAAATCTGCATAAAAACAGAGGTGCTAAATACTGTGGGCAGGCAAACGTTTGACATTCCCTACCGGTGTCTAAGCTTTAACACACTGCCTCACAGTTAAAGTGGTGACACACTGTCACGGGACAGGGGAGTCTCTAAGCAGCTGACGGTGAGATGAGTGTGAAAAGAGGGGAGGAATTGAGGAGAGAAGTGTGTGTGTGTGTTGGGGAGAGGGCTTAAAGAGACACTATTTATTCGAGGGATTCCGAGGGCTGTGTGTGTGTGTATAATCCTGCCCCCCATCATGATTAGCTGAGGAGCGCTGGGGGGGGCTGTCTGCGCCTCCTTATCGCAGCCCAACACACACTCCCCTCTACCAATGTGCCACCGCTTCAGCTTTCATCTCTCTTTGATTTCACAGCCCTTTACTGTGTGTCAACTTGTCATGTCTGCTTTAACCTCATCCTAAGACTCTGTCTCTAACGGTCTCGGCCTCTCTCTCTATCTGTGATTATGTCCGTTTTAGCCCCATGCTAGGTGTGTGTGCAGTGATTTTCTTTGTGTGAATCTTTCCGCATGTTTGCTGTAGGTTTCTGAGCTCTGACATTTGGTTATGTTCTTCCCCACAGATGTACGATTGCTGCTCAACAATGACAATCTTCTCAGGGAAGGTGCAGCGCAGTAAGTCGACACTCTTTACTGTCAGTGACTCATAGACTTGTGGTCAGTTGACGTCATTAAATCTGTCAAACTCTACTAAATGGAATGTACTATTGACAACTGGGAAATAGTCATTGTTTCTCCAGGAAATAATTGACTATTGGCACTGATTTAAGCTTGTACCTGTTTCTGTTTGATTCTGTAGTGCTTTTGCACAGTACAACGTGGACCAGTTTACTCCGGTGAAAGTAGAGCAATATGAAGAACAGGTAGGCTACATCCATTGTCTTATGTCAGATCGCAACTATTTCGCCTGTCAGTTGAGAGACGAGCATCGCGTGTGAAGCCATCTGTCGGAATACAATGGTCTTCACCATGTCCTCCAGAAATACAGAGAAACAAGACATGTTTTTGAACAGATTTCACTGTAGTCAGCCCCTCTAGAACCATACCCTATGATGCTAGTGACTACTGACCTGGTGTCATTAGAAACAGACGGCTATAGGGATTAACGGCTCTGGTCATTTGGACTAGATGTATGAATGAGACCAGCCTTACGGATGTGTAAGTGGATGAACTGAAGAATATTAGCCTTGTCGCATCGAAAGTTATTGTATTGTTGCTATGTTTGCTATACAAACAATTCCTCGCCTTGTATTTAGGTAGTATTCCAGTTCAGTGTGATTGTGTTGTTGCCTAGGTAACACAATAATACACTGATAAATCTTCTGGTTTATACACACACTAGACTGAGTGTCAGGAATATAAGGAATGGGTCACACAACTCATATACACTGAACAAAAGTATAAACGCAACATGCAACAATTCCAAAGACTTTACTGAGTTACAGTTCATATAAGGAAATCAGTTGATTGAAATCAATTCATTAGGCCCTAATCTATGGATTTCACATGACTGGGAATACAGATGTGCATCTGTTGGTCACAGATACCTTAAAAAAAAGTAGGGGCGTGGATCAGAAAACCAGTCAGTATCTGGTGTGACCACCATTTGCCTCATGCAGCGCAACACTTCTCCTTCACATAGAGTTGATCAGGCTGTTGATTGTGGCCTGTGGAATGTTGTCCCACTCCTCTTCAATGGCTGTGCAAAGTTGCTGGATATTGGTGGGAACTGGAACATGCTGTCGTACACGTCGATCCAGAGCATCCCAAACATGCTCAATGGGTGACATGTCTGGTGAGTATGCAGGCCATGGAAACACTGGGACATTTCCAGCTTCCAGGAATTGTTTACAGATCCTTGCGACATGGGACTGTGCATTATCATGCTGAAACATGAGGTGATGGCGGCAGATGAATTGCACTACAATGGGCCTCCAGGATCTCTTCACGGTATCTCTGTGAATTCAAATTGCCGTCAATAAAAAGCAATTGTGTTCATTGTCCGTAGCTTAAGGTTGCCCATACCTTAACCCCTCCGCCACCATGGGGCACTCTGTTCACAACGTTGACATTGGCAAACCGCGCACCCACACAACACCATCTGCCTGGTACAGTTGAAACCTGGATTCATACGTGAAGAGCACACTTCTCCAGCATGCCAGTGGCCATCGAAGGTGAGCATTTGCCCACTGCAGTTCGGCGTCATAGCTGACTTCAGTCAGGTCAAGACCCTGGTGAGGACGACGAGCACGCAGATGGTTTCTGACAGAAATCCTTCGGTTGTGCAAACCCATAGTTTCATCAGCTGTCCGGGTGGCTGGTCTCAGACGATCCCGCAGGTGAAGAAGCTGGATGTGGAGGTCCTGTGCTGGCGTGGTTACACGTGGCCTGCGGTTGTGAGGCCGGTTGGACGTACTGCCAAATTCTCTAAAACAACGTTGGAGGCGGCTTATGGTCGAGAAATTAGATGGCGTAGCAGTGCAGTCGTGTATTCTGTAGTGTCCTTGTGTAAATAGCCAGTTTTTTTGTATTTTTCATATATATTTCTCAATCTCAATTTCCATCGTTTAACTAAATATACTTTCCTGCAACCCGCCTCACCCAATGTGGAACGGATTCTATTATTTCTTTATACCTTTTTATCTAAAACCTCTGGCTGAAACTAGCCAGCTAACTAGCTACTTTCTGTCAACCACCGTTAGCGGTCTTCACCATTGTCCGTGGCCTGCACTACCTACCAGCCAGCTCTAGCCTGGACAATTATCGGCCAGTCTGCACAGCGCGCTATCGACCCAGAGCATATCGGATTTTCTGCCAGAATCACTGAATCTCTGGACCTTAACACCGGATCATCACAACTAGCTAGCTGCAACCGTATGGCTGTTGTTTTTGTTGGCTAATCACCACTGTCCCGACGCAAGCACCAGTTAGCCTTGAGATAGCCTCGAGCCAGGCCCATCTCCCGGCTATCTACCGCTCTGTCAACCGGACGGGACCTCCTAGTGTTGACACGGAGCCCCGCCGATCCATCACGACTGGTCTGCCGACGTAATCGTCTGATGTGGTTTCAACAGGCTTCCCGTTGCGACGACCACAAAGATCCATCTGCTAGCCCCGGCCCGCTAGCACACGCAATCAACAGCTGTGCCTCCTGCTCGCCTGTGCCGTAGCAGCCACCAAACCGCTCCCGGACTCACCTATTGCTGTTCACTGGACCTTATGATCACTCAGCTACACAGCTGATGCCTGCTGGACTGTTCCTTTATATGGTACCCCATCCTGTTTATCTGTTTAGCCTCAGCCCAAACTTTCGTCGCCATTACCAGCTGTTGTCTTAGCTCTCTCGAATAACACCTGTGATTGCTTTATGCCTCTCTCCCATGTCAATATGCCTTGCCTATTGCTGTTTCGTTTAGTTCTTATTGTACTATTTCACTGTAGAGCCCCCAGTCCTGCTCAACCTGCCTCAGATAGCTCCTTTGTCCCACCCCCCATACACGCGGAGACCGGCTCAATCGGTTTCTCTAGTGATGCCATCTCTTTCATCGTTACCCAATGCTTAGGTTTACCTCCACAGTACTCATATCCTTCCATATCCTTGTCTGTACATAATGCCCTGAATCTATTCTACAATGCCTGGAAATCTTCCCCTTTTATTATCTGTACCCAACTCACTAGAAGACCAGTTCTTAAAGCCTTTAGCCGTATGCTTATTCTATTCCTCCTCTGTTCCTCTGGTGATGTAGAGGTTAACCCAGGCCCTGGAGCCCCCTGTATCACTCCTACTCCCCAGGCGCTATCATTTGTTGACTTCTGTAACCGTAAAAGCCTTGGTTTCTTGCACGTTAACATCAGAAACCTCCTCCCTAAGTTTGAGTTATTCACTTCGTTAGCACACTCTGCCAACCCTGATGTTCTAGCAGTGTCTGAATCCTGGCTTAAGAAGGCCACCAAAAATTCAGAAATGTCCATCCCCAACATACAACACTTTCCGTCTAGATAGAACTGCCAAAGGGGGCGGAGTTGCAATCTACTGTAGAGAGAGCCTGCAGAGCTCTATCATACTATCTAGGTCTATGCCCAAACAGTTTGAGCTTCTACTTCTAAAAATCCACCTTTCCAGAAATAAGTCTCTCACTGTTGCCGCTTGCTACAGACCCCCCTCAGCCCCCAGCTGTGCCCTGGACACCATATGTGAATTGATTGCCCCCCCATCTGTCCTCAGAGGTCGTACTGCTTGGTGACCTAAACTGGGATATGCTTAACACCCGGCCGTCCTACAATCTAAACTAGATGCCCTCAATCTCACACAAATTATCAAGGAACCTACCAGGTACAACCCTAAATCCGTAAACATGGGCACCCTCATAGATATCATCCTGACTAATTTACCCTCTAAATACACCTCCGCAGTCTTCAACCAGGATCTCAGCGATCACCTCCTCATTGCCTGCGTCTGTAATGGGTCCGCGGTCAAACGACCACCCCTCATCACTGTCAAACGCTCCCTAAAACACTTTAGCGAGCAGGCCTTTCTAATTGACCTGGCCCGGGTATCCTGGATGGATATTGACCTCATTCCGTCAGTAGAGGATGCCTGGTTGTTCTTTAAAAGTGCTTTCCTCTCAATCTTAAATGAGCATGTCCCATTCAAAAAAATCTGAACTAAGAACAGATATAGCCCCTGGTTCACCCCAGACTTAACTGCCCTTGACCAGCACAAAAACATCCTGTGGCGTACTGCATTAGCATCGAACAGCCCCCGCGATAGGCAACTTTTCAGGGAAGTTGGGAACCAATATACAAAATCAGTTAGGAAAGCAAAGGCTAGCTTTTTCAAACAGAAATTTGCATCCTGTAGCACTAACTCCACAAAGTTTTGGGAAACTGTAAAATCCATGGAGAATAAGAGCATCCCCCCCAGCTGCCCACTACACTGAGGCTAGGAAACACTGTCACCACCGATAAATGTACGATAAATTAACTCCTGAGTGGCGCAGTGGTCTAAGGCACTGCATCGCAGTGCTAACTGTGCCACTAGAGATCCTGGTTCGAATCCAGGCTCTGTCGCAGCCGGCCGCGACCGGGAGACTCATGGGCGGCGCACAATTGGCCCAGCGTCGTCCAGGGTAGGGGAGGGAATGGCCGGCAGGGATGTAGCTCAGTTGATAGAGCATGGCGTTTGCAATGCCAGGGTTGTGGGTTCGATTCCCACGGGGGGCCAGTATAAAAAAATATGTATTCACTAACTGTAAGTCGCTCTGGATAAGAGCATCTGCTAAATGACTAAAATGTAAATGTAAATGTACGATAATCGAGAATTTTAACAAGCATTTTGCTACGGCTGACCATGCTTTCCACCTGGCTACCCCTACCCCGGCCACCAGCTCTGCACCCTCCGCTGCAACTTGCCCATGCCCCCCCCCCACACACAATCTGGAGCCTTTCTTTCTAAAATTAGCTGCCGAAATTGTCGCAACCCCTATTACTAGCCTGTTCAACCTCTCTTTCGTATCGTCTGAGATCCCCAGAGATTGGAAAGCTGCCGCGGTCATCCCCCTCTTCAAAGGGGGTGACACTCTAGATTCAAACTGTTAGACCTATATCCATCCTGCCCTGCCTTTCTAAAGTATTTGAAAGCCAAGTTAACAAATAGATCACCGACCATTTCGAATCCCACCGTACCTTCTCCGCTATGCAATCTGGTTTCCGAGCTGGTCGTGGGTGCACCTCAGCCACGCTCAAGGTCCTAAACGATATTATAACTGCTATCGATAAAAGACAGTATTGTGCAGCCGTCTTCATCGACCTGGCCAAGGCTTTCGACTCTGTCAATCACCCCATTCTTATTGGCAGACTAAATAGCCTTGGTTTCTCAAATGACTGCCTTGCCTGGTTCACCAACTACTTCTCAGAAAGAGTTAAATGTGTCAAATCGGCGGGCCTGTTGTCTGGACCTATGGCAGTCTCTATGTGGGTGCCACAGGGTTCAATTCTCGGGCCGACTCTATTCTCTGTGTATATCAATGATGACGCTCTTGCTGCTGGTGACTCTCAGATCCACCTCTACGCAGACAACACCATTTTGTATACATCTGGCCCTTCATTGGACACTGTGTTAACAAACCTCCAAACGAGCTTTAATGCCATACAACACTCCTTCCGTAGCCTCCAACTGCTCTTAAACGCTAGTAAAACTAAATGCAAGCTCTTCAATCGAACGCTGCTTGCACCCGCCTGCCCGACTAGAATCACTACTCTCGGCGGATCTGACTTAGAATATGTGGACAACTACAAATACCTAGGGGTCTGGTTAGACCGTAAACTCTCCTTCCAGACTCACATTAAGCATCTCCAATCCAAAGTTAAATCTAGAATCGGCTTCCTATTTCGCAACAAAGCCTCCTTCACTCATGCTGCCAAACATGCCCTCGTAAAACTGACTATCCTACCGATCCTTGACTTCGGCGATGTCATTTACAAAATAGCCTCCAACACTTTACACAGCAAATTGGATGTAGTCTATCACAGTGCCATCCGTTTTGTCACCAAAGCCCCATATACTACCCACCATTGTGACCTGTACGCTCTCGTTGGCTGGCCCTCACTACATATTCGTTGCCAAACCCACTGGCTCCAGGTCATCTATAAATCACTGCTAGGCAAATCCCCGCCTTAACTTAGCTCATTGGTCACCATAGCAACACCCACCCATAGTATGTACTCCAGCAGGTATATCTCACTGGTCATCCCCAAAGCCAACACTTCCTTTGGCCGCCATTCCTTCTAGTTCTCTGCTGCCAATGACTGGAACGAACTGCAAAAATCTCTGAAGCTGAAGACTTCTCTCCCTCACTAACTTTAAGCATCAGTTGTCAGAGCAGCTTACCGATCACTGCACCTGTACACAGCCCATCTGTAATTAGCCCACCCAACTACCTCATCCCCATATTGTTATTTATTTTGCTCATTTACACCCCAGTATCTCTATTTGCACATCATCTTCTGCACATCTATCACTCCAGTGTTAATACTAAATTGTAATTATTTTGCACTATGGCCTATTTATTGCCTTACCTCCATAACTTACTACATTTGCACACACTGTATATAGATTTTGTTCATCCCATATGTAACTGTGTTGTTTTTATCACTCTGCTTTGCTTTATCTTGGCCAGGTCGCAGTTGTAAATGAGAACTTGTTCACAACTGGCTTACCTGGTTAAATAAAGGTAAAAAAAATAACATTCAATTCTCTGGCAACAGCTCTGGTGGAAATTCCTGCAGTCAGCAAGTCAATTGCCCGCTCCCTCAAAACTTGAGACGTCTGTGGTAGGGATTAATATTTTCCCGAAAATCTATCAAGTTTCAATACCGGGAATAATTCATATTCATCCCGAGAGTCCCGGGAAAATACCGCAAAAATCGTAAGTGACCATTTAAAGCGTTTAAAACCAAGATATTGCCATCTTGGCTGCGACACTGTAAAGATTTCACAGCAGGTGTAACTGATATTTAGTAATGGTAGAGTAACGTTGATCGCCAATATGTTGTGAATTGCAAAACAGGCCGTTCAAAATTCAGAGCGTTATCATGTTCCTCAATTAATTTGGCGCATTTCAGCAGTAGGCCTAGGCTATCTCGATACAGAGCGCTTTCAGGAACCAAAGAGCGCACCCCAAGTAGGCCATAGCGTTATCAAATCATACAAACTTTGTAACGGCAGTCAAACAAAAGTCAAATGACCAAAGTTGCTAAGCTTGCTAGATAACCTCCAATGAATGATAGAATATCTCCTATTTGGCTAAATTTAGTTGATGATTATACAGATGGCACATCAGCTCATGAATAACAGGTAGATAAAGAGAGGAAATTATTTTAAATATCAAGGTATCTTAACGGGGACCAACTTTTTAAATAAATAATAATATCCATATCTACTCTCATACCGTTGGTTGATCAGATATTCCCTACCGAAGCTCTCATATGGGCAGCAACACTAGACAGCGCAGAGAAGCGGGGGAAGTGTTATAGCAGTATTTTGACGTGCTTTGATAATGCAACCTATGGATTACAGAATAAAGTTAGGAATTTTAATGCGAGACAGGAGTCAGGATTTTGGGTTTCAGTGGGATTGGGACGATAGGAAAATAGCCTGGGCTCTATATAAGGCTACTACGTGAGTCAATAGATAAATAATAGCCTACACTTGATTTAGGCTACATTATTGCATGCTAAATGTTTCTGATCAGTGATAGATGAGCAAATTAATAAGTGAGCTACCACTTCCACTTGTCCAGCCAGAGATCAATTAACCAAATATACAGACAGCGATTCAGTAAAACTAAATCACATTGATTGATTGATCAGACAAGTCACAGGCTTTTGTCCGTGAGTAGGACAGTCTAAGTGAGTGATGAGCAAAATCCACTTGTATAACATGCTATAAATGTTCTGATCAGCTAATATATGAGCAAACTAGAATAAAGATTATCATTAGCACTCACCTCAATTTAGCTAACATTTCCCCAGCCTAATTGTTACCAAAAATCCAAACGGCGATCTGACATTGATTGATTTATCTAGATGAGTCCCCCACGCTTGTCTCAAAGCAGCGCGATGGCGCTGTCCCAATCAAAATGGTGCTGAAATGATAATCTAGGTGACCACATGCGACTATTGCTTTAAATTAGTATAACGGTTGTATATGACTGGGAGTTTCAGTATAAGCAAGAATTGGATACATGCCTTCAATTGCATTAGCCAACTTTATTCCAATATTTTCTTCATTCAGTTTATCAATGGCTGTTTCCTCATCTACTCAGTCCTCTGCCGATCGTCTCCGCCGCGTTGTTCTCAACACCAGTTAAAATCAATATAGCCTACTGTTTTCTAGAAATCTGTTATTCTTTTCAGGTTGAGGCTCATTTAATTTCTATGATGTTGGAACAGGCCTGGGGTCGGGCTTTAGTTCTGATGAGAACTCTAAACTGCATTCGGACTGGCAGTGTCATTTATGCGTGTGCTTTGAATTTATGCCGACTTTATGTGAAGTAAATGCACTAGGCTAAAGGCTTCCATGTGACAACCTGTTTGGATAATGTGCTATTTTCTTTTTTGCCAATCTACTGCTGCACATGTTGTGTATTTTGTGGAATTCCATTAGAAAATGTCATTAAAACATTTCGGGAAATGTGGTCCTCTGTAGCTCAGCTGGTAGAGCACGGCGCTTGTAACGCCAAGGTAGTGGGTTCGATCCCCGGGACCACCCATACACAAAAAAATGCATGCACGCATGACTGTAAGTCGCTTTGGATAAAAGCGTCTGCTAAATGGCATATTATTATATTATTATAAGAGTGGTCCCGGGATCCCGGTTACCCATGTTAATCCCTGTTGTGTAACAAAACTGCACATTTTAGAGTGGCCTGTTAGTGTCTCCAGCACAAGGTGCACCTGTGTAAGGATCATGCTGTTTAATCAGCTTCTTGATATGCCACACCTGTCAGGAGGATGGATTATCTTGGCAAAGGAGAAATGCTCACTAACAGGGATGTAAACCAATTTGTGCACACAATCTGAGAGAAATAAGCTTTTTGTGCGTATGGATCTTTTATTTCAGCTCATGAAACATGGGACCAACCCTTTACATGTTGCGTTTATATTTTTGTTCAGTGTAATTCTTGTCCTATTCTTAGACTACACAACAATTTTCCCTCCCTCCCTCTCCAGGTCTTAATCACAGAGCATGGAGACCTGGGCAACGGCAGGGTCCTGGACCCTAAAAACAAGATCTCCTTTAAGTTTGACCATCTGAGGAAGGAGGCCAGCGACCCACAGCCACACAATTTGGACGGAGCCATGGAGGGCTGGAGGAGTGCTGTGGACGGTGCTGTCCGGGCCTACGTCAAGGAGCACTACCCCAACGGAGTCTGCACTGTACGTTTGGGCTGCATAACACCTTTTTCTTGACTGATCCTGCACTGTTGAATTTGTCATTTGATCATGTAGCTCATATTATGTGATAACCGAGTTCACTGAAAATATGTGTCGCTTCTCCCTTTTTAGATTTACGGCAAAACCATTGACGGACATCAAACCATCATTGTGTGTATCGAGTGCCATCAGTTTCAACCAAAAAACTTCTGGTATGTATGGATTTTTAGAATCAAAGATGCCGGATTAATGAAGTATATTTGTGGTTTAGGGTTCTAATCATTTACAGTGCATTGGGAAAGTATTCAGTCCCCTTGACTTTTTCCACATTTTGTTACGTTACAGCCTTATTCTAAAATTGATTAAATACATAAAAATCCTCATCAATCTTCACACAATACCCTATAATGACAAAACTGTTTTTTAGATTTATAAAAATTAAAAAACAGAAATACTTTATTTACGTAAGGATTCAGACCCTTTGCTATGAGATTTGCAATTGAGCTCAGGTGCATGCTGTTTCCATTGATCATCCTTGATGTTTCTACAACTTGATTGGTGTCCACCTATGGTAAATTCAATTGATTGGACATGATTTGGAAAGTCACACATGTGTATATATAAGGTCCCACTGTTGACAGTGCATGTCAGCGCAAAAACCAAGCCAGGAGGTCGAAGGAATTGTCCCTAGAGCTCCGAGACAGGACTGTGTCGAGGCACAGATCTGGGGAAGGTTACCAAAAAATGTCTGCAGCATTAAAGGTCCCCAAGAACACAGTGGCCTCCATCATTCTTAAATGGAAGAAGTTTGGAACCACCAAGACTCTTTCTAGAGCTGACCGCCCGGCCAAACTGAGCAATCGGGGGAGAAGGGCCTTGGTCAGGGAGGTGACCAAGAACCTGATGGTCACTCTGACAGAGTTTTAGAGTTCCTCTGTGGAGATGGTAGAACCTTCCAGAAGAACAACCATCTCTGCAGCATTCCACCAATCAGGCCTTTATGGTAGAGTGGCCAGACGGAAGCCACTCTTCAGTAAAAGGCACATGACAGCCCGCTTGGAGTTTGCCAAAAGGCACCTAAAGACTCTCAGACCATGAGAAACAAGATTCTCTGGTCTAATGAAACCAAGATTGAACTCTTTGGCCTGAAAGCCAAGTGTCGCATCTGTAGGAAACCTGGCACCATCCCTACGGTAAATCATGGTGGTGGCAGCATCTGTGGGGATGTTTTTTTCAGCGGCAGGGACTGGGAGACTAGTCAGGATTGAGGGGTAAGATGAATATTGAGTAAAGGGTCTGAATACTTATGTAAATGTCATATTTCCGTTTTTTTTATGCAGTTGCAAAAATCTCGACAAACCTGTTTTTGCTTTTCCATTATGGGGTATTGTTTGTGTGTGTGTGTGTGTGTGTGTGTATATTGAGGGGGGGAAAGAATGTAATCCATTTTCGAATAAGGCTGTATCGTAACAAAATGTTGAAAAAGTCAAAGGGTCTGAATACTTTCTGAATGCCCTGTAAATGGCTTCAAAATCTCTCCAGGCAGAATCAAAGTATGTTTAGCCTGTGAACCTTCAATTGTCTGGTTTACATGCTAAACAGTGTTTAAACACTATCTAAGCTTGCTTTGTTCGGTACTTAGCTAGCCACTGCCTGTTGGTTTAGAGATCAGTGACCCCCCCCATTACCTTGTTGAGCCAGCCAAGATCAAATTAATTTAATTGGATAAGGGCTGTGGCAATCTTCTTTGCGGGTGGGTTTTTACTGCACTTAAGGCTCCCTGAGTGTAAAGATCTGATTCCGCTTAGGAAAGGCTGTGTAGTGGAGGGAGAGGGAGACGACACTAAACTCAGACGCACTTTATGTGAGCTTGTGGATTTAAATGTCTAGTCTTTTCTCTCTCTTTTTAAAGGAATGGACGTTGGAGGTCAGAGTGGAAATTCACCATCGGCTCCTCCACTACTCAAGTGGCCGGAATCATGAAAATCCAGGTGTGTGTGTGCATGTGTGCGTATTTATACAGTGCCTTCAAAGTATTCACACCCCTTTTATTTTTTCCATATTTTGTTGTGTTAGAGGCTGAATTTAAAATTGATTAAATTGAGATTTTGTGTCACTGGCCTACACCGGTGGCGGTCGGTGCCGTTTAAAGATGAGGGAGGACAGTTTGAGTATGGCCTTTTTTCTATTACAGCTTATTAGTTTACTGTCATTCTTATTCAAATTCACCCATCTCAATGTGACATCGATAGGTTTAGGCTACTACATGAAACTCACATTTTCCCTATACCCATCATGAGGTTGCTGCAACCTACGAATGAATGTTTACAACAATGAGATTTTTTTTCTCCAGAAAATCACATTGTAGGATTTTTTATGAATTTATTTGCAAATTATGGTGGAAAATAAGTATTTGGTCAATAACAAAAGTTTCTCAATACTTTGTTATATACCCTTTGTTGGCAATGACACAGGTCAAACGTTTTCTGTAAGTCTTCACAAGGTTTTCACACACTGTTGCTGGTATTTTGGCCCATTCCTCCATGCAGATCTCCTCTAGAGCAGTGATGTTTTGGGGCTGTCGCTGGGCAACACGGACTTTCAACTCCCTCCAAAGATTTTCTATGGGGGTTGAGATCTGGAGACTGGCTAGGCCACTCCAGGACCTTGAAATGCTTCTTACGAAGCCACTCCTTCGTTGCCCGGGCGGTGTGTTTGGGATCATTGTCATGCTGAAAAACCCAGCCACGTTTCATCTTCAATGCCCTTGCTGATGGAAGGAGGTTTTCACTCAAAATCTCACGATACATGGCCCCATTCATTCTTTCCTTTACACGGATCAGTCGTCCTGGTCCCTTTGCAGAAAAACAGCCCCAAAGCATGATGTTTCCACCCCCATGCTTCACAGTAGGTATGGTGTTCTTTGGATGCAACTCAGCATTCTTTGTCCTCCAAACACGACGAGTTGAGTTTTTACCAAAAAGTTTTATTTTGGTTTCATCTGACCATATGACATTCTCCCAATCCTCTTCTGGATCATCCAAATGCACTCTAGCAAACTTCAGACGGGCCTGGACATGTACTGGCTTAAGCAGGGGGACACGTCTGGCACTGCAGGATTTGAGTCCCTGGCGGCGTAGTGTGTTACTGATGGTAGGCTTTGTTACTTTGGTCCCAGCTCTCTGCGGGTCATTCACTAGGTCCCCCCGTGTGGTTCTGGGATTTTTGCTCACCATTCTTGTGATCACTTTGACCCCTCGGGGTGAGATCTTGCATGGAGCCCCAGATCGAGGGAGATTATCAGTGGTCTTGTATGTCTTCCATTTCCTAATAATTGCTCCCTCAGTTGATTTCTTCAAACCAAGCTGCTTACCTATTGCAGATTCAGTCTTCCCAGCCTGGTGCAGGTCTACAATTTTGTTTCTGGTGTCCTTTGACAGCTCTTTGGTCTTGGCCAGAGTGGAGTTTGGAGTGTGACTGTTTGAGGTTGTGGACAGGTGTCCTTTATACTGATAACAAGTTCAAACAGGTGCCATTAATACAGGTAACGAGTGGAGGACAGAGGAGCCTCTTAAAGAAGAAGTTACAGGTCTGTGAGAGCCAGAAATATTGCTTGTTTGTAGGTGACCAAATACTTATTTTCCACCATAATTTGCAAATAAATTCATTAAGCATCCTACAATGTGATTTTCTGGAAAAAAAAATCTCAATTTGTCTGTCATAGTTGTTGTGTACCTATGATGAAAAGTACAGGCCTCATCTTTTTAAGTGGGAGAACTTGCACAATTGGTGGCTGACAATACTTTTTTTCCCCACTGTAGGTGCACAGGTCGAGATAAAAATTGGAGTAATCAAAGTGACAGACAGTGACACATTCAATACCGCCTTGCACATCTAGCTGATCTAGGTTGTAATCATTCATCCAACAGTTGGATTAATGATTACGCTCTCTCACCTTTTCTTTTCGCTTGTGGGCTTCAGTGCACAATACAACAGCTGTCTGTGACCAGGCGAAAAAACCTTCCAAGCAAAACCTTCATACCATAACCGCTAACCGCTACACACAGCCTACATTGTTATCACCATATTAGCCAACGTCATATTCAACATAACTAGCTACTAGTACAAATGCGTTTAATAAACCCTCTACAATCAGGCAGTATAGTGTACAGCAAGCAGTTTAACAGTTACACCGAAGGGCCCAGTGGCAATAAATTATTAAAACCAAAAGCTTACCTTGACTTGGAAGAGTTCCAGTGTTGGATAGCCATAGCCAGCTAGCTAACATAGCATCTCACTCTGTTATTCTACAATGTAGAAAATAGTAAAAATAAAGAAAAACCCTGGAATGAGTAGGTGTGTCCAAACTTTTCACTGGTACTGTAGATCAGAGCCCCCGATTCCGCAGCGAGGCGAACAATTTGCAGTTTGACTTCAGAACTGTGGATTCGTACAATCATACACCGAGATCCGTTCTGGAGAGGACCCTTACTGTGCGAAATGTTTATCAGTGGCATGGAACCCAGGGTCTCCTGCCCAAACAGTTCATAGAAAAGAGTGCTTATGAAAGAAGTTGGGTTGCCCTTCCTCTTCCACACCAGTTTCAAGTCCTGTGACTCGCACATTGAATTTACATCAATGATTTTCGAGTGATTCTGTTAAATGTTTTATTAAATTGATTTCGCCTTCTAGCATAGTTTGCGCTGTTTCCAGGTCATGGAGTCGCCCCTCTGTCAAATTTTCTGCTGTCTCCAAACTTTCCACTTTTAGTTGAGTATGTATCCACTTTAGAAGTGAGCAGAAGTCTGTTAGTTCATAGTTATTTGCTAAAAAAAAGCAATGAGAAAGCTACCCGTTTCATGCATGCCACTGGAACCGGAAGGTAATGGACTACAGTGGAATAATGTTTTGATAAATTAATAAAAAATGAAAAGCAGAAATGTCTTGAATCAATAAATATTCAACCCCTTTGTTTTGGCAAGTCTAAATAAGTTCAGGAGTAAAGCTTTGCTTAACAAGTCACAATATGTTGCATGGACTCCCTCTGTGTGCAATAATAGTGTTTAACATGATTTTTGAATGACTACTTCATCTCTGTACCCTACACATACAATTATCTCTAAGGTCCCTCAGTCGAGCAGTGAATTTCAACCACAAAGACCAGGGAGGTTTTCCAATGCCTCACAAAGAAGGGCACCTATTGGTAAATATACAAATAGCAGATATTGATTATCCCTTTTGATTACACTTTGGATGGTGTATCAATATACCTAGTCACTACAAAGATAGAGGCGTCGTTCCTAACTCAGTTACCTTAAAGGAAGGAAACCGCTCAGGGATTTCACAATGAGGCCAATAGTGACATTAAAACAGTAACAGTTAGAGTTTAATGGCTGTGATAGGAGAAAACTGAGGATGGATCAACAACATTGTAGTTACTCGACAATACTAACCTAATTGACTGAGTGAATAGGAAGCCTATACAGCAGGGTTCCCCAACTGGCGGCCCGCATGCCAAATGGTTTTGTTTGTCTCCCCAAGTTTTCTGAGCAAAAATAAGAAAAAGTAATCATAATTTTGTTGGACATAAGACTGTAAAAACACCAGGAAATCAGTATTCCTGCGCATAATAGAGAGACACATGATCATATACAAATGTAAGCAAGGTTTGAAATGATTGCTTTAGTCTAATATTATAACTGTTTGGGCTTCTTGCAGTCAATTTACTAATTATTTGAAATTATGTTCCGCATAAGAAGAAATCGGCCCGCGGCTGAATCTAGTTGATGATCCCTGCTGTACAGAATAAAAAATATTCCAAAACATGCATCCTGTTTGCAACATGGCACTAAAGTAATGCTGCAAAAAATGTGGCAAAGCAATTTAACTTTTTGTCCTGAATATGTTTGGGGCAAGGACTAGGGAGTTTTTTGGGTAAAAATAAATGGAATAGAGCTAAGCACAGGCAAAATCCTAGAGGAAAACCTGGTTCAGTCTGCTTTCCAATAGACACAGGGAGACAAATTCACCTTTCAGCAGGACAATAACCTAAAACACAAGGCCAAATATACACTGAAGTTGCTTACCAATATGACATTGAATGTTCCTGAGTGCCCTAGTTACAGTTTAGACTTAAATTGACTTGAAATCTATGGCAAGACTTGAAAATGTCTAACAATGATCAACAACCAATTTGACAGCACTTGAAGAATTTTAATGTGCAAATATTGTACATTCCAGGTGCGCAAAGCTCTTAGACTTACCCAGAAAGACTCACAGCTGTAATCGCTGCCAAGGTTGATTCTAACATGTATTTACTCAGGGGTGTGAATATTTATGTAAGTGAGAGATTTATGTATTTCATTTTCTATAAATTAGCAAAAATGTCTAAACATGTTTTTACTTTGTCATTATGGGGTATTGTGTGTGTGTGGATGGTGAGGGGGAAACAATTTATTTGATCCTTTTTGATTGTAACTCAACAATGTGGACTAAGTCGAGGGGTATGAATACTTTCTGAAGGCACTGTATGTGTGTGTACACGTGGGCATGGTTACATTTAGCATAATTTAGTTCTAGACCATCACACCGTACTCTCTGGTTGTAGGTTCATTACTATGAAGACGGCAACGTTCAGCTGGTCAGCCACAAAGAGGTCCAGGAATCCATGTCCATTTCTGTGAGTGCATCATTAAATAGAATACATGTGGAACAACCCCCCCCTGCTGTAAAGTATTTGGGTTAGGTATGCATTTTTGATGATCATTGGACATCTCGTTTCACCTCCTGATTTCCACTCTGTTACTCTCCACCAGAACGAAGCTGCAACTGCAAAGGAGTTCATCAAGATCATGGAGGCTGCGGAGAACGATTACCAGGTGTGTGGGATTAGGAATGGGAACTCTTTGATTTGGGCACATACAGGTAACTGCCAAAATAAAGGAAACGCTAACATAAAGTGTCTTAACAGGGCATTGGACCACCACAAGCTAGAACAGCTTCAATGCACCTTGGCATAGATTCTAGAAGTGTCTGGAAGTTTTGGAGGGATGCGACATCATTCTTCCACGAGAAATTCTATAATTTGGTGTTTTGTTGAAGGTGGTAGAAAACGCTGTCTCAGGCGCTGCTCCAGAATCTTCCATACGTGTTCAATTGGGTTGAGATCTGGTGACTGAGACGGCCATGGCATATGGTTGACATTGTTTTCATGCTCATCAAACCATTCAGTGACCACTCGTGCCCTGTAGATGGGGGCATTGTCATCCTATGGGGCCGTAGCCAAAAAGTATGGCCTGTCCAGTATTTTGATGTGACACTAAGCATTATGGGATGTTAATTGCTTAAGTAACTTTGGAACCACACCTGTGTGGAAGCACCTGCTTTCAATATACTTTGTATCCCTCTTTTACTTGTGTTTCCATTATTTTGGCCATTACCTGTACATATACAAATTGCTGTAACATCAAATACATGCAATAATGAAGCATCATATTTTGCCACTAGTGTCACATAACACACATGACACATGTCTGTCAGGCGTTGTTCATATTCTTGTGTAACGTCAAAACATTATCTGGAAACCATTACCACATGACACTGTTCCTGTCAATTGTGGTTCCTATTAGAGATGGGCACGGTTAACGGATTAATTGAATATCCGAATGGATGTTATTATTCGATTACTTGAGTGAGTGTTCATTTTTTAAATATATATATTTTTGGCCTATTTTAACAATGAAAAAGTTGTCTAAATTTTTAATTATCCCTATTACATTGTTAACTACAACAATATACCATGACATTTGAAATTCTTAATTTAATAAAACAACCAACTTTTGAGTGTAGTTTTTATAACAGTGCGCATTTAGCCCTCCAGTCTGCCCTGACATTGGTGTGCTATTTCCCCCACTTCAAATAGCAATTACAGGCACGCGCACCTAAATGTTTCCACAAGACCTGACACATCAATACAAAACACTCAACAATAACTTTTTTGTATCAGTTCTATCATGGTGAAAATCAGGCTTCTCTTTTACTGAGTAAGTTTACATGCACACTAATAATTTGATATTAAACTGATTATGGCATTAGGAAGAGTATCGCATTAGTCATGTAAACACCTCACTCGGCTTATCTTAATCGGCAGAAGGTCAATCATAGTAAGCATAGGCCGATTTTAATAAAACACCAGGTTTTCTGAGCAATCTTTTGAATTATTAGGACATGTAAACAGCTTCATCGGAGTTCCAGCAGTGTATTTGATCTGTGCATGTGCTAGCACCGGTAGCACAAGCCTCCCTCTTATGTGCGAGTGAACTAAGTTTAGAAAAACTGAAGGTATGTATCTTAGAAATAATTGTCCGAACTCAGAATCAAATGGGCTTCCCAAAAATAACATGGTTGCTGTGGTAGAATGTTTATTTTAATGTGCATTTGCATCATTTTGATTGGTCAAGAGAGTCAAGAGCAATTCTCTATCCGGATATCATCGAAGAAAATGATATTATTCTAAAAGTAAAATCATTTCTGAAATGCCTATTGTGACACCCCAAAGCCCTTACTAATTTCGCCGCCCTCTTTCCCGGTCAGACCGCCATCAACGAGAATTACCAGACCATGTCGGACACTACCTTCAAAGCCTTACGCCGCCAGCTTCCCGTGACGCGCACCAAGATCGACTGGAACAAGATCCTGAGCTACAAGATCGGCAAGGAGATGCAGAACGCTTAAAACAAACAAAACTGAAAATCCCAGCATTGCATGACTGGATTATTGTATCGTCTTTGTACAAATTAGATAAATGGGAGCGGAAAAAATAGTGTCGAAAAAATGTCAAACGTTATTACACTTATTAAGATGTCTACTTTTATTAATGCTTTTACACAGACACAGTTAAAAAGATAATCTGTATAATACATAGATGATAACGTAAATAATCATGTTATTATTGGCAAAATAGGATTTGGATGGAGGATGTAGGACCTAGGAGAGGGGTGGAGCTTCATATGCAAAACAACCTGATATACATTGTGACAATGTTATGTGTCTATTTATTATTATTATGGTAGTTAGACCACACCTTTGACCCAAGGAAAAACAATTCCAATTGCAATGATGAAATGATTATTTTGAGGAATCTGTCTATGTATATCAATTTAGAGTAGGACTTTATTGGCTAATACAGGATAAGAATCCTCTACTGTACTGTAAAAGAGACCTTCCGTCGTGTTCAATGGCTTGTACTTTTATGACATCAGAATTACATGTTTTGCACGAGTGGTCCATCACCTCTGTCAATTTCTACCACTCAATGTTCTTCTTGGTCCCCTCATATTGATACTCCCCACACGGTTTACCCCAGACCAAACGTGAAAATCTCAAGTTTGTGTGACCCTCCAAGCTAAACTGCAGGTTAACTCACTGACTTCTGAACTGAACTTTCATGACGCCATGAAAGTATGGTTCCTATAATACCCTGACAAGCTTAATTATTAATAACTCTTTAATTGCTACCAAATGTGGATTAAAATGTTCAAATTAAAAGGTATCACTGCTTATTTTGAATTAGAACAGAGCTGACTGTGTTATAACACGACACATTGTAATATATACCTGTATTAAACATCCTTGTCCTTCGGTTTGGTGATTTATTTCCTTGATTAATTGTAATTCAGTCACAACTTTGTTGCATTAAATAATACATTTTCTATTTACTGACTCACTCAAATTTGACCATTGACAGGGTTCCTGTTATAGGGTTTAAGTTCAACACTACTTCTACATTTGCAGACACCTGATCCAGATCGGATTAGTCTCAGATCGCAACAAATGTGGAAATAGTGTTAGGAACCTATCGATATGAATTACCAATCTGATCACCCCAGTTGACCTAAAGGCATGAAATTCAGTACATGGGTCACAAGTAACAAATTTGCCTCGATGGATTTTCTGCCGTTTAGAATTTTGTGAGAAACGCAAAACTCTGCTCTTCTGGCACTGAATGACCGATCTGCATGAAACTTGATATGTGGTATCTATGGACAAAGGTATCTCGCAATATTTTCCAGACAAGTACCTAAAACAACATGGCCACTATTGACCAATAAACATTGACATGGGCGTGGCCTGGCACATATGCATATAAATCAGTCAAGGATATTCATATTGTAACACAATTTGGTACATGTTGCAAACACTGTCAATAATCAACATATGCAATAACACCACACAGTGGAGCTATAACGGGCACATGTTTATATCTCTTGATCTGTTTGACTCAGAATGCTGAAATTTGGCACACGTGCTCAGTGACAACCCCATACCATTTCTCAGACACCACTGGCCCGATTTTAATTAAACTTGGATGTATTAAGCATCTTGCCATTAGAGCTCCAGCATTTACAAAATTACACTGATTGGCCCAAGGGAGGCGCTATAGTCACACGCAATATCTCAGACACCAATGGCACGACTTTGACGAAACTTGGGTGAATGATGCGTCTTGCCATGGAGATCCGTAATTTATTAAATTACACTAATTTGCCCAAGGAGGGGCGCTGAATCATTTGTGGGGGACTATATGTTTACTGTTGCCTTTTTAAAATCATGAATAAAGGTTAACACAGCAGTCATACGAGACAGAACTTACTTACTAAGCTGTCACTCTCGCAATACTGATTGGAGAAGTCGTGTGGATGGCTCTGTCCTTTTTTGTTTGTTTCTATTTTCACGGTGGAGGGCTAAAACATTGTTATTGTCCCCCACGATGAAATCGGAGGGGGCCTATGGATCTGTCTCAGTCCGTTCGTACGTTAGTCACACGCAATATATCTCAGACACCACTGACCCGATTTTGGGTGAATGATGCCACAGAGATCTGGCATTTACAAAATTACACTGATAGGCCCAAGGGGGCGCTATAGTAATCGACTGAAATTCCAAACATTGAACAAGTACAGCATATCTCCTGTCCTGTTTGAGCTTTAATTGTTGTCACTAATTGGCCCAAGGGGGGGCGCTGCATCATTTTTGGTTGACAACATGTTTACTGTTGCATGGTTCTCAATTTTAAAAAGGTGGAAGATAGTCATCTTTCATAAATAATTTGAATATGTTTTTGAGTATGTGTATGTTTTGTTGTACTATACTAATAAACTCTCAAATGGCAGGTGTTATCAAAGCAGTCATATGTTTCCATCCTTTAAAGTTATTGAAATATCATAAATCGTCCCAGAATACACTGAGAGCCCAGAGTATCATGGCTGAAAATGGGACAGGTTTAATAGAGCAACTCAAGTCCTCCATTGCCTGGTCTTGGACATACTTCTGACAGTCTGGTTCTTTGTTATGATATTTTTGGTTTACATTTTACGAGTGCCATTCATATACAGCGACAACCTGACCACAGGTGAGAGTCGCTTACGTCAACGTCCTTTTTTAACGACTTCAGAGTTTTAGGTAGGTACCTTGCTTGCTAGCTAGTTAGCATGCTAAGAAAGGTAATTGGGACTAGCTCGAGCTAGTGCGTGCTTGCTAGCAGACTTTGCAGACACGTCTACAGTCTCTAGCCAGACATAAGTATTGTTTTTCTCTCGCTTGTTATGCTAGGATAGCCTAGCTAGTAAGATAATGCAACTGATACGGTTATAGCTGGCTTTCACATAACTAATTTCAAGGTAAGACAATTAGACATGCTCGTTTTTTGTGTATAGTGTTTGTGGACACTATAACCACACTTTCAAAGTTTCCATATTTGCTAACTTTGCTAGCTACTGTAGTGAGTCCGCTACCCCTTAGCTATCTAGCGAAGTCATGTTCCAAATGCAATGTTATTTCTTTAGCTAACAGTACCTATTACATGCATGCCGCCAGATTGTGCGCTAACGTTGCAGTTCAATTCGTTGTTGCTTTGTCTTTGTTTTGTTTTTTTTACCAAGCTAGCAAAGCCACTAGTTAGCTACATGACTAGACAGTAAGGAATGTCTCATCTTTGGAATAGTGACTTTGTTTATATTGTGTTTGTAGTAGTTGGCCATTTGGATTATTATTATTATTATTTGTATTCTGTCTCAGATAGGGGCATACAATAGAAATGTCTGATGTGGGTAGCTAGCGAACTATACTGAACAAAAATATAAACGATTTTACAGAGTTACAGTTCATAGAAGGAAATCAGTAAATTGAAATAAATAAATTAGGCCCTAAACTATGGATTTCACATGACTGGGCAGGGGCGCAGCCATGGGAGGGCATAGGCCCACCCACTTGGGAGTCAGGTCCACCCACTGGGGAGCTAGGCCCAGCCAATCAGAATGTGTTTTTCCCCACTAAAGGACTTTATTACAGACATAAATACTTCTCAGCACCTCCCCCTCAGACGATCCCACAGGTGAAGAAGCCGGATGTGGAGGTCCTGGGCTGGTGTGGTTACATGTGGTCTGCGGTTGTGAGGCTGGTTGGATGTACTGCCAAATTCTCTAAAATGATGTTGGAGGCAGCTTATGGTTGAGAAATTAACATTCAATTCTCTGGCAACAGCTCTGTTGGACATTCCTGCAGTCAGCATGCCAATTACATGCTCCCTCAACTTGAGACATCTGTGGCATTGTGTTGTGTGACAAAACTGCACATTTTAGTGGCCTTTTATTGTCCCCAGCACAAGGTGCACCTGTGTAATGATCATGCTGTTTAATCAGCTTCTTGATATGTCACACCTGCCAAGTGGATGGATTATCTTGGCAAAGGAGAAGTTCGCACTAACAGGGATGTAAACAAATTTGCACTAAATTTGAGCCATAAGCTTTTTGTGTGTATGGAACATTTCGGGGATCATTTATTTCAGCTCATGAATAATGGGACCAACACTTTACATGTTGCGTTTATATTTTTGTTCAGTATATATGATAGCTATATAATTATGAAATACTTAGTGTTTACTTCTGTAACCATGTTTTATCAAACATGGTGAAATGGCTCTTGGCATATGTTTTCTGGTTGCCATTTATGATTTCAGTAGAGGCTCAACAAGCACTTGGTGGGTCAGAATAAGTCATTGTTGGCTTGCGTGATGGCCTAGTCAGTCAAATATGACTTCCATAATTTTTTTTATGTCTAAGTTGGTATTTGATTAGGTGGTTCCTTGAGAACAGGATCTAGTCTCTCTCTCCTCTGTGACAGAGTAGTGGTGAGGAGCAGATGGAAGAATGTGCTCTTTCGGTGGGCCAGCTGGCTGGCTGAGGAGTGGAGGGCCAGGCAACGTTTAGATACACAAACTAGCTGAGTGGCATATGTGGCATAAAATCACCAGTTGAGTGTGCACTATAGTGTGTTTTCTTGTCTCTGTGTCTTATTTTTGACTGTCATTGGTGTTTGTGTACATGTGTATGTTCGCTAGCGAGCAAACGTGTGTGTCGTTGGGTTTGAGGCAGGGGCAGGGTGGTAAGAACTGGAATGGGCCTGGGGAGGCAGACCAGACATGCATGTTGAAATGCAAAGTCACTGTACTTGACTTAGGTGCCAGGTTCAGTGTGGCATGAATGCTCAGCCTCACCCACAACCCCATTTTTGGAGATGACATTACAATGTCTTAAAGCTGCGATATGTAACTTTTTGTGCGACCCGACCAAATTCACATAGAAATGTGAGTTATAGATCTGTCATTCGCATTGAAAGCAAGTCTAAGAAGCGGTAGATCTGTTCTATATGTGCTATTTCCATTTTTGCGTCTTTTA